GAGTAGTGCTCACCACTTGTGAGACGGAGACAGGAGGATTAGAAGTATTTTATTTAAATCTTTTCTGGAATCTTATGAGGGATCAAGATGAGAAATTGAGGCACATAAGATGCTAAGTACCGAAAGAATCCAGATGCAGGTCTGGGCTCATAGCTGCCTTCACTGAGCTGCTATATGCACAACTGTGCTCCCAGGGACATGCAATCAAGTACTCATCAGACAGGCAACCAGCAGGTGCAACAAGTCAGTGTCCCTGTGATAGCAGCCAAGTGAGCTAGAAAATAAGGTGCAATAGTCAGCAGCAGCCTGAGCCTTGGACTGTTACAGCTTCATCCTCCTTCTCCACCAGTGAGGGCATCAACCCCACAGCTTGGGAACTCAGGCTGCCCTGGCTGAAACGAGGCTGCCAGGCAGCTGGCGGGTCCAGCCCTACCTCCCACGACACACCCCTCCCCCACTCCTCACTGAGGCTCCCTGATGGCAAGCAGCCTTAGATCCTCACCTACTCATCCCTCAGGCCGCCTGTGAGACCTTCTGTGTGGGAGAAGACGCCAAAGCTGCTGCTCGAGACATCTTCAGCCCCAAACGCAGCTGGAAGCGCCAGAGGTACCGGCTGAGTACCCAGGCTGAGAGCCTGCAGTTAGTACCAGGTACAGCCCTGACCTCAACCAACCCTGCTGAATGGGAGTCCCAGGATTCTCCCTCACAGGCCAGGACCCAACCCACTGGCTCAGGCTCCTTTATCCTCTTGCTCCCTAGGGCTGACCCATGTGCACAGGCGGAAGATGTTCCAGGCTACAATCCTTTCTGTGGAAAACCTACAGAGCAGCAAATCTACGTGAGGAATATGGCTCACCCCTCCTTACTAATAGGGTCCCTCTTCATCAGAACCTAGCACCCTCTTTCTCCCACACTCTTCCTTCTTCCTTACTGTTATCTGACCTCTAACCGCCTCCCTCCATACCCCTAGCCGAGCCACAATCCTGGTGCGTCTGGACACTGGAGGCCAGGAGGGACTGCAGTACCAGCCAGGGGACCACATAGGTGTGTGCCCACCCAATCGGCCTGGCCTAGTGGAGGCGCTGCTGAGCCGAGTGGAGGACCCTCCACCATCCACAGAGCCTGTGGCTGTGGAGCAACTGGAGAAGGGCAGCCCTGGTGAGGATTGTGGGCTGGGCTGGGAGAGTAAGATTCTGCTGAAGCCCTGGCACAGGACCCCACAGTGCTCAGGTTCACAGTGGTGCCACTCTGCCTCACACCCGGGATTACCTGGACCTAACTGCCACTCCAGCGTGTGGTCCTTTCCCAGAACCCACCAAGCACCCTAAAAACCTCCTCCCATAGCCACCACCTCCCCACAGTCTAATTTCTCTGTAGTTGGCCTGGAGTTAAGATAACTTGATGGGGTTAAGGACAGAGGAGATCAGACCAACCTAGTCCAGCCAGGGTTCCCAAACACACTGGGGCTGCACAGACAAGCCCATGCTACCATTCAGGGACAAATTTTCCAGTAAGACACACTGACACATGGTCGGTCCCTGCAAAGTGAATGTCAGCTCAGCCCATCCAGTCCCAGTGGGCCCCTTGCTCAGAGCTCCCTGTCCACTGCCCCCCAGGTGGCCCTCCCCCCGGCTGGGTGCGGGACCCCCGGCTGCCCCCATGTACGCTGCGTCAGGCTCTCACCTTCTTCTTGGACATCACTTCCCCGCCCAGCCCTCGCCTCCTTCGGCTGCTCAGCACCCTGGCAGAAGAGTCCAGCGAACAGCAGGAGCTAGAGGCCCTCAGCCAGGTGCGGGCCATGCTGTGGGGAGCCCCGGGGCTAGACTAAAGGAGGATAAGTTGGGAGACATTCAGTGGCAGGAAGTCCCCTGTGCGTGCCAGATCCTCTGGACATGCTTCTCCTGGCCACATGCACTGGTGCTTTAAGATCTGTTTCCGGGCTGATTCATCTCTGGGTGTGGAGGGACTTCAAGAGGAGGGTGTGCTGGCCTGACCTGAACATGGATGAATCTAAAGAGGCTCACTCTGAGGACTGTGGGGCTCTCAGCTCAGCACATCTTCCCCCAGGACCCTCGGCGCTATGAAGAGTGGAAGTGGTTCCGCTGTCCCACATTGCTAGAGGTGCTGGAGCAGTTCCCGTCAGTGGCACTGCCTGCCCCACTGCTCCTCACCCAGCTGCCCCTGCTCCAGCCCCGGTACTACTCTGTCAGCTCAGCGCCCAGCGCCCACCCAGGAGAGATCCACCTCACCGTAGCTGTGCTGGCATACAGAACCCAGGGTGAGGCTGGGAGCTGGAAAAGCCTGGTGTTGGCAAGACTAAGACAGACCTCTGAATGACTTCCCCTCCTAACCCCTAGATGGGCTGGGCCCTCTGCACTATGGTGTCTGTTCCACATGGCTGAGCCAACTCAAGGCAGGAGACCTGGTACCCTGCTTTATCAGGGGGTAAGTGAGGCCTCTGGGGTAGCAACTAGAGGAGATTGTCTATGCCCAGGCAAGGGTAAGACAGTGCTACATGCTGGCCAGGGACAAGTGAGGAAAGGACGTGATGGTGGTGGTGAGGGATATCACACAGGATTAGCTGGTAATTACTGGAAGCATGGAAAGCCTATTAATACATCAAGAACTCTACTTTAGGCCTCAACCTCCCTTCCAACCTCCCAACCCTATGTAGGAGAGAGAAGGTTAGTGGGGAGAGAGGGCCCCTTTATTTCTCCCAGCTGTTCAGGGTCAAAGGGTCTTTGGGGACTATACCAATCTCTGTCAACTTCAGACACAGTCAGCGGTCTCCTTCAAGCCTCTGCGCCCCAAAGCATTGCTCCCCATCTGTCCTCTCCAAACCGCCACATTGTCTATCTCTCTGGTCTCTCCAAGCTGCTACCCACCACATGCCACCACAGCACACCTTCTCTTTTTTGGCTCTCAATTTATATCCTCCAGAGGCCTAGACCACGCCCCTCTCCAGGACACAAGAGGCAGGTCATTACCAGCTGGCAAAAGCCACACAAGAGACAACTTAACAGCTATGGACAAACCATAGCCCAACTAAAATCCTACACTTGGGGTTAAAACAAAAACACATTTACATAACATAACTTGAGATTTTAAAGAAACCAAAACTAGGCGGATCTTGACACTTGAGGCCAGCCTGGTCTACAGAGTGAGTTCCAGGACAGTCAGAGCTACACAGAGAAACCCTGCCTCTAAAACAAACAAACACTAAAACAAAGAAAAAGGAGACACATTGGGCCTTGGACTTTCCTGTCTATACAGCCATAGGTTGGCTGATATGTCACGGGTGAAGCAAAGGGGTCTTAACTGGACTCTCTCTGGCTAGGGCTCCCTCCTTCCGGTTGCCACCTGATCCTAATTTGCCGTGCATCCTGGTGGGCCCAGGGACTGGTATTGCACCCTTCCGGGGATTCTGGCAGGACCGATTACATGACATTGAGATCAAAGGTGAGTCTGGGGCTAACGGTGCACCTGGAGTCAGAAGGGAGCCAAGGAGAAAGGAGGCTGGGGAAAAATGGCCATAAAAGAAACCAGGACCAAAGGTGGAAAGAAACTTATTTAACGACGAGGGGAGAAAACGCAAAGGCTGGGTCCTGTTTGTCAGTCTTCCTGGTGGTCCCTTGACATATAGTATGTTTTGAAATGGATTGAGGGTAGAGAAGGGAGGGGATAGGGCAGGAATTCAAACAGGAAACAGCTCCAGGTAGATCTTCCCTTCTATAAATCAGAGTGTGGCGGGGTCTAGGAGAAAGCATCCTATTTGCTCCTAGAGGCTGAACAGTCAATATGGTGGTTAATCCAACACAAAAGGCTGGCTGGCACCCTGGGCAAGAGTGGGCTGGAGGTGGGGTTACCAGGGCTGTTCCAGAGAAAGGGGCCCTCCCAAACCTCGGGGTTGCGCACAGGGCTGCAGCCTGCCCCCATGACTTTGGTGTTTGGCTGCCGATGCTCCCAACTCGACCATCTCTACCGGGACGAGGTACTGGATGCCCAGCAGCGCGGGGTGTTTGGCCAAGTCCTCACCGCCTTTTCCAGGGATCCTGGCAGTCCCAAGGTACCAGGGCGGGTGTAGAGATGGCGTGACCAGACCTGGGCCATTCCCAACACCGGCCCCACCCCACCCCACCCCACCCCGCAACGCCCCTGGCCTGGTTGTTGTCATAGCAAGTCCCGCCCCCAGACCTATGTGCAGGACCTCCTGAGGACAGAGCTGGCCGGGGAGGTTCACCGCGTGCTGTGCCTCGAGCAAGGACACATGTTTGTCTGCGGTGATGTCACTATGGCAACCAGCGTCCTGCAAACGGTGCAGCGAATTCTGGCAACAGAGGGCGACATGGAGCTGGAGGAAGCCGGTGACGTCATCGGCGTGCTGCGGGTGCGAAGGGGCGAGGCCGGGCCGGGGTAGGGTGAGTGGGCCAGCTCCTGTTCAGGTTCTGATCCGCTGAACTCTTTTCCTCCCCGCAGGATCAGCAACGCTACCACGAGGACATTTTCGGGCTCACATTGCGCACCCAGGAGGTGACAAGCCGCATACGCACCCAGAGCTTTTCTTTGCAGGAGCGACAGTTGCGGGGTGCAGTGCCCTGGTCCTTCGACCCGCCCGGCCCAGAAACCCTAAGTTCCTGACAGGCTCTTTCCCCTCCAGTTCCCGGAGAGAGGGATTGTGTCACTTCGTTCTGTTGACGAAGGCCTGCCACCCTCTCTGGAGAATGCCTACAGTCGCGAGGCTGCCGATTTAAGAATTCTCTCTCCAGTTCATCTGGGCAGGGAGAGGGGTTCGCCTAAATCTTGAAAGTTCCTCTGGCGGTGGTATTTGCTCTGGTGGACTGTAGACTCCCTTTTTCCGTCTCTGGAGTATCTTACCTTTAATGTCAAAGTCATTCCGGTATTTATTGAAGATTTATCATAAAAGATCATGCCAGATGTCGTGAGATGCCCAACCCAACTCTTGTGAATCCCAATGATTGAAAAAAAGACTCAGTTCCATGCTTTAATGTGTAAAGATGTTGGGATAGTAATTCTTTGACAGTGAGTTCTAGACACCTCTCTGTGACCCAGTACTCTGAAAAAGTTTCAAAGCAGATGAATATCAAACTCAAGCACAGACAGTTCTGTGATTGAGTGACCAGGTGCAGCCCTCAGCCTCCAGGAGTGGGGCATGCTAGACATTCCCATGGCAAAGATGTACAGCACAGCCGTGAGCAATCTTTGCTACTTTTTTCACACAGGATGGGGAGCCCCACCCACTTCCTGTGGCGTCACAGGACTGCTGCAGTCCAAAACCAGCAGCCCTCCGGTTTTTCCACTCACCAGTCTCCATATCCCCCACCCCTAGTCCCACAGGAACTCAAAGGGGAGGCCAACAGGAACTTGCCTTTCAGGCCAAGTGCCTCACTGCTCCCTAACCCTGAGTGTGGCCACTGCCTGGACCCTGTCTTCCACCTTGAGGACACTGGAGGGGAGGAGGTTCTTCCCAGGCGACTGCTCCACAGCTACCAGTTGGGGCTAGTGCCTTACTGTGGGGCCTGTCTTTAAGCTACCTCAGCTCACAGTCATCTCCTACTCTTTCTCTGTTCTCGGGGCAAGCTCCTCTTTGACTCCCAGATATGACCAACTGACGTAGTCTGGGCCTGTCATCTGGGGTGGGGATGGGGTTCAGAAGATGGCTCTGGGCATCCTTCCATGCCACCCCATCCAATCTCCTGCAGCTGGAAAAGCCAGAACCTGTGGGAAGAAAAAGCTGCCGGCAAGCATTCGAGGCACCTAGGTTTTAGAGACTCCCACCATCCCACCAAAATGGACCCCAAACTTTCTTTATTCTTGCTTGTTTGACCCTCATGCGGGCAATACTAACCTGAGGTGTCCTCAGTCAGTGCAAGGAGCCAGGTAGGGGCTCCTTCTGGGTGTCTGTGGCCTCCTGAAAACCCCTTGGGAATAGATTTCGGGCCCTCTGGGGGCCCCACTGTTGTCTTGGGCTAGAAGCAGGGCTGGAACCTGGGAACAATGCCACTGGGTGAGCAGGAGCATGATGCTCAGGAAACACCAGAATCCTGTCCCTATCCTGGACCCTCCTCACCATCACTTGACCAAGATGGCTTCTCCTCCTTGGGTGAGCCTGGCTGTGAAGGACTGGACCAGGGTCTGGATGGGGAAGAGGCTGAAGCCTCTCCCCATAGTTCCTGCTGCTGCTGTTGATGAAGCTAGATGGAAGAAGAAGAATAAGGGACTCCCTCACACGTGGGGGTGGAGAGCAAAGCCTAGCTCCTCAGCTAGGTACAGAGAGCCCATAGTTCCTGTTAGGTACTCTTTAGATTTGGGTCCCTCCCCCAGTATTCATTTCGTTCACTTTCTTTCTATATTCCCTCTACACACCTGATGTAGGTAAATGGCGTGGAGGCTCATCTCAGCAGAAACAAGCTCTGGGAGCTGTGTCAGCTTCTGGCCCCCAGTGCCTCCTGGGGACACACAGCTAAAACGAGATATACCAGTCAAGAGACATCTCCCTCACAAAGGGAGGCAGGCCAGGCTGCACCCTAGCTTCTAAGTCCCCTTAGTCCCCTAGCATCCTCTCCTGGAGAGTCAGCATCAATCCAGACTCCCTGTACCTTAGGCCTCCACCCCTCCTCACCTTGGGTCCTGGACCATTCTTGAAATAGAGGCAAGGAGGCTGGCTGTGGCAGCAGCAGGGCAGGTTGCTGTGGGACTCAGATCCGTCTGGGGTGGGCGGGGATTCACCAAGAGGTTGGCCAGGAAGGCTTCTGGCTGAATAAAAGAGAGCCAAAAGCGTGGAGGAAACCAAAGAGTGGAGGAAGGGATAAGGGAAGGTCCAAAGGAGGGCAAGAGATATGATAGATTGAGCCTGGCTGCCAGGGCAACACACAAAGTCAGAAATGCCAGGGAGAGATGGAGGATGGGGAGGGCAAGGAGTAGACAGGCCTAGAACTCACCAGAGGGGACGTACAGTCACTGAGCACCCCTGGGGTGGGAGGGCTTCGTGTTGCCGGGGCGACCCAGGCAGCTGCATCTTGTTGGACCCGGCCCCGAAGGTGTCCAAGGAACTTAGAGCTGTGCCCTGGCGGCTGCCATTGTGGATGTGCCAGGGAGAACCGCATTAAGGAGAGCTCGGTCTTCCCATCCTCTGCACGCTGAGAAAGTGAGGCCTCCGTCTGTCCCTCTGAGAGCCACTGCAAGAAAGGGAGTCCTTCTGGTGTTAGGGACACCAAGACTCAGGTAGGCAGGGAAATGCTGCCCCATTTTCCAGATGGGGGACATCGAGGCCGCAGTGGGGGACTCGTTCGAGATCAGCCAGGAGCAGGGCAGTGGAGCAGGACATGGGAAGGGCTCTTACCTGAGGGTGCCCGTGGCGCTTCACATCCATTAACGCAAAAGAGCAGATGTCCCCAACACCAGCCACATCCACGGTGAAATGGTGGAAAAAGTCAATGATCTCCAGAGCACGGGGGCGGAACCAGAAGAGCAGAAACAGCGGGGTGAGGAGTGGAGAGAGGAGCTCTTCCAAGAGCGAGACCTAAGGAGCAGGGAGGGGTGAGGCTGAGCGGGAGGGCCGCACAAGTGATCAGGGACACAAGCCTCCAGGAACACTCTCTGCGGTTTGAAGCTTCCAACCGCTCGCCCTGAACACACACACACTCCACAAACCCTACACCCCACCCTCGCCCACAGGGCCCCCTACTTCTCCCAGACGGATCGTTTGGATAGGGCCTACTCGGCGGCCCTCTGCAGACCTCCCCCCCCCCCCAATCCCGCACTCACTGCTCGGTACTGAAGCAGCTGCGCCATCTGCCAGTAAGAGCTGGCCCGAGCACCCGCCGCGCCAGGCTCCTCCGGGAGGTAATGCATGTGTGCCAGGGCCGACTGCAGCAGGAGCTGAGGGGACCGACTCTGGCATTGCTCCTCTGGAATGAAGGACCTGATGGGCAGGACGGGGTGAGGGATACGGTTAGGAGGACCTGCAGGGGGGGTGCAGGGCGCTGATGGTGACACAAGGGGCTGCTAAGGGCAAGGAAGCCCTGCGCCTAGGTCAAAGAAAGGGCACACACCAGGATCTCCTCCTTGGGGGGGGGGGGGGGTTGCCCTCTAACCTGGCCACGGTGGCTGTGACCCCGAGCACCGTCATGGTGGTGAGCACGTGCTCCACGGCCAGCACGTCCTCGTCGTAGACCGTGAGCACCAGCAGCGCGGCCAAGAGCGCCCCGGAGAAGAAGACCAGCTGGCGGGCCAGCAGCGCGCGCAGGGGCGCGGGGGGCTCGGCCGCGCGCAGGAAGGCGGTCGCCGGCCGGTAGGCGCGGGCCAGGCGGGCGCGCAGCTCATGCGGCAGCTCGTTGAAGTGGCGCAGCTGCAGGCGGGCCAGGCGGGACCAGCGGCGCGCCCCGAAGGCGCCGGGCTCGCGCCGCAGCAGCTCCACGTGGCTGTAGAAAGCGTGCAGCACCTGCCAGGCCAGCACCAGCGGGCTCAGCGCCAAGTTCACGGCGGCCAGCAGCAGCACGGTGCGCCGCCAGCGGGCGGCCAGGACGCCCCGGAGGTCGCTGCGCTTGTAGGCTTCGGGGAGCTCCCAGCCCCCGCGGAAGAGGGAGAAGGGACCGCGGAAGAGCAGCAGGTCCACGTTGAGCGCCAGGCCGCGACTGAGGAAGGCTGCGCTGCCCCCCCAGGGCAGCGGGCAGCGGGCGGGCAGCAGACCCTTGTTGGCAAGAGCCACCTGGTAGTTGGTGTAGCGTAGGATGCGGTGGTGGACGTCCAGTTCCGTCAGCGGCCGCGGCTGAACACACAGCCCACCACTCCTCTGCAGCTCCAGGAGGCGGGCCTGCACCTCGGCCCAGGATACAGAGCTGAGCTCCTCCTGAGGAGAGGGGACAGGGGAGCCTAGAGACCTGCACTGTCCTCCACAGAGACGCAACATCCATGACTCAGTGAGCCGTCTGCAAACTCCAGCTCTGGTGGCCTCCCTCCCCACCTTGGCATTCTGCCTTCTTCTAGCCCTTCTGAGGACAGAAGCACTTCTACATTCTTTCTGCCCCTTCTCAATTGTTCTGCTCATCACTGCCACTCTGAAGCCATTAGTCAGTCCTGTGCTTCTTGGGGACACCTCTTCAGGAAACTTCAGGGACTGGGACCTGGCTTCTTTCGTGAGCCCCCTTCAAATCCACATAAAAAAGAATGACACTTCTCCCTTCTCACTGCTTTCTGCCTCAGCAAACCTTGCGAACCCTGGCTGCACTCACCCCACTCCAGGCCACTTGATTAGCTTTCACACAACCCTGCCTGAGTCTGGGAGAAGATTGCTCCCACACTTCATTTGGAGAGACAGTGAGCTGCAAGCCTCGCTTCAGCCCAGGCTCCCCAGTCCAGCTATTTCCTCAGGTCCAGCCTCCACAACTCCTCCCTGCATCTCCCCCTCCACTGGAAGAAAGAGAAAAGGAAAGGCAAGAGGGAGGAACGAGGATGGGGTCAACTGCCCCGGCAGTGGCTGTGCCTGGTGCCTCCTTACTCTCCAGGTTCATGACATGCTAAGGGAAGCAAGAGATGGGGACTGAAGAAGAGCCCTTAACAATAAACTTAGGGGCAAAGCTAGAAGGACATGACCAGAGGACAATGAAGAGGCCAAGAGAAAGGCTTTCACTCCAAGTGTCCTAGAAAAATCTATCTCGGCAAGCAAGTCCATCTCCACTGCCTGAAGGCACCCATGTTTTCCTCACTTCCTGCCCAGAGGCTTGAATGGCCCTTCCCTCACTCTGGCCTGACCTTCCTCAACCAATCAGGATGCCTCCTGCTCCAGAAAGCCCAGTGACAGTCCTTCCTATAAACAGCCATTGTTTTTACCACCAGCATGTGACTGTAAGTCATTGTACATGACCCATCTGAGTAAAGGAAGCTTCACAGGGCCAGAGCCAAGCTTGCTAAGAGCCAGTGGCTCCTCCTGACATTACTCCAGGCCCAGGGCAGGTGTCTTTCAGCCTCCATCTTTCTGCTCTTCTCAGTTGGTCCTTCCATCTGTATGGTCCCACTCTGTCCTGTCCTCTGCCCATGCTGTCACAGCAGGCTTACTGGGGAAATGTGCAGAGCCTCCCTGTAAAACACCTGGATGTCCCAGTAGCTGAAGAGGTTGCAGACTGAGCGAAGCAGCTGGAACAGCCAGAAGCCGGCAGCCAAGACTAGGAGGAAGACCAGCAGGGGACTGTCACGGATCCTGCAAGGGGTTGGACAGGAAGGATAACAAGAAGGTGGAAAACCCACAGGAAGAAAATAGTGGTGGAGGCCCGTGGGTTTCAGTGGGGCTTGGGGGGGGGGGGTCCTCACTGAGGCCTTTAAACGTGCCTGCAAAATCAAAACTTTTCACAAACAGCATTCATGCTCTCTGCTCTTTGTACTTTCATTTCCAGAAGCTATAAGACAAGTGAAGATGTTACATCAGCATGGCCCATGTGATGGGCACTTGTGCATTCCTAACTTTTAAAGTTGTCCTCAGGGCTAGGGATGTGGCTGAATGGTACAGTGCTTGCCCAGCATGCCAGAAGCCCTGGGTTTGCTCCCCAGCACCAAAAATAAACAGTTGTCCTCACCATTAATTTCTAATAAGGTAAATAGAAATGTGACTCATATTCCAAGGCTCTTTGAGATTCTCAGCCAGCTTGGGGTATGTTTTTAAATATGCCAAACACTTTGAGAGTTGGTCTAGACCAAAGGCCAGTGTAGGGAGGTTCCTTTCTTCCCATCCTTTTGTGAGATTTAGTCCAGGGGATCCACCAGACTGTCACTTACTTCTCTGCACACTGGGCTGAGGGTAGAATGGCATCTGACAAGGTCACTTTGCTGTGGAATGGCCCAGGTCTTGTACGGTTCTTTGGTTGGTTGTTGAAGAGAACATTGTAATCCACACAGCGAAGGAGGAAGGTTGTGAAGGTGACAATGAAAATGAACTGTCTGAGGAGGGGATGCAAAGAGAGGTCACGATCAGGCCTAAGGGCCTGGACTCCTAGCCCAGTTGCCAGACAAGCTGAGGCTCTACATGGTCCCCTCACCCTTCAGAGTCCCAAAGACTAGAATGGAAAAGGAGAGTTGGGGAATAGCTCAATTGGTAGAGTGTCTGCCTAGCACATATGAAATCCTGGATTTCATCTCCAGCATCACATAAACTGGGTATGGTGGTACACACCTGTAATTCTAGCATTTGGGAGGTGGAGGCAGGAGGAACAGGAATTCAAATCTAGCCTAGGATACATGAAACAGACCCTGGCTCAAAAAGAAAAAAACAAAACAAACAAAAACAAAAACTGGGGGGGGGGGTGAACTTAGGGACAGGACTGGCTTCTCACCCCAGCTGGAAGACATCCTCCAGCAGGATACAGGCAAACCCATTCCTCTGGTGGTAGCTGTAAATGTGGCAAGTTTGTCAAGAAATACATCTAAGCCTGTGGACTCTTCCTGAAGAGATTTTCCCCACTCTCCCCTGATCCACAGTCCCCCACCATGTCCCTCTGTGTGCTGGGCACAAAGGATATCTTGGTGAAGAAACTGTCCAGGTTCTGGATGTGATGCCAGGAGCCTGGGCACGGAGAAACAGAGTCAGGACTTGGCACCATCCCACTGATGATTAGTTTTTTCTATGGAAACACCTCAACACTTACCACGGAGTCCTTCAGGCACATGAAGCAAGGGCTGATGGTCCTCCCCATGGAGGGGTGAGTCTTGCGACCCCTCAGGGTCACAGTCCTCTAGCCGTTCATAATCCTGCTCAGGGATCAGAGGGCCTATCCGCAGCCCAGGATGGTCCTGGGGGCACCGGCAGGAGGGTGGGGGAGTGACCAAGGACAGGGCGGGGGTGGAGTGGGACCCCCACGTGGGGGAAGCAGAGGTGGGTGTCATTGTGGAATGGGCCCGTGTTGAGGGTGTGGCTGGGGTGGGTAAGGCATTGTGTGGAGGCTGAGAAGCCCCTGCCTCCTGAATTGCCAGGCAGGGGGTCCCCGAAGCAGGAGGGAACACTGAAGAGGAGTAGCTTCTTGTACGAGGGCCAGGGGACAGAGAGAAGACAGAGATCCTCCCTCCCCCAAGTCCCCGACATGGAGAAGCAGGCAGTGGCAGTGCCAGAGGGAGCAGAGGCACTGAGCTGGGCCCCAAGTCTCCCCACCGCCCCCGCTGCCTCCTGCTCCCCCCCCACCCCATCCGGCTCACCATCAGGCGGCAACTTCTCCAGAGAGGTTGAAGGAACTGGGCTGCTGTTGTTTCCTCAGAGGTCTGTGAAGCTGAGCAGAGACTACAGCAAGGACAGTGACAACAACAGCACCAGGTGAGTCAGGCTGGGCAGGCCTCAGGCATGCCAGCCCTCAGCCACCTGTGTGATCACTCACACTCCTTGCAGGGCAACCTGAGGCCAAGGCCCAGGCTCCACACCTGGAGGGACACCAGTTTGGGAGACAGGGGTTCAAGAGTTATTGGGACTAGAAGAGACACCTATGATCTGGGCTTTCAGCCCTTGAGGGCACAAGTAGTAAAGACAAGGTAGATGCAACAAAAACAATAAGCACAAAAGAACAAAATCCTATCAGAGGGTTAGAGAGTGTTGGGGATGGAATGTTAACCTTCATTTCCTACAGTTAATATTCCCTTCCCTCCACACCTTTGGGCACTGATCAACAGAGAATGATTTAAAACCACCTGCCCAAAACGGTGGTTCATTCAGATGTCCCAGCACTTGGGAGGAGACAGGGGCAGCAGGATCAGGAGTCTGAAACCATCCAGGTTACATCTGACCCTATAAAACAAACAAACAAACAGACAGACAACTTTGCATATTTTTTCTGAATGGAAGAGGAACACTTGACTTTGTACTCAGCTAGGAGGAAACAACAAGAAGGAAGTAAAAGGAAGGAATGCTAGCCATCTTGGATTTGAGAAATAATTCAAGGAGCTTAAAGGAGAAAAGCCTGATTCCTTGCGAGTTCCATTATGTCTTCTTTATCCTCTCGAACCCTGAAACACTCTCCTCTAACTCCTGACCTGGTGGCAGGGGCCTTCTGAGAGGCATCAGCAAAGGAAGATAGGAAGAGATACAGGACTTCGAAGGATAATTTGGGTATGTGCGGATGAACTGGCTCAGTTTGAGTTCCGTGTTGTTGCCTCACCAGGGAGGAGGCCCAGGTGGCTGGTCTGATGGCTTGCCCAACGCCATTCCCAAGGTCCTGAGTCACTAAGTGCCCTACTGAAGCCCATGTCTGAGACGCTGACTTAGCTAGCAGGTGTCAGGGCCTTCAGGACTTAGGCCAGTATCCCAGAAATGGAGAGGAACACTGTGCTTTCTAAAATGTTTCTGAGAGGAACATGAAGGACATTCATGGAACTTCCCACAAATTTATCCAGACTGCTTGCTTTTCTTATTTTTCTTCCTCATTTCAGGCAGAGGACTTGTCACAATAGTTCATAACTCCCATACTTTCATGGCTGGGTAAAGGTACAGCTTTTTACAAGTGACAAAATAGTATGGGGTGGGGGAGCAGGAAATTCCTAAGATCTTTCTTAAACCTCTAGAGAGATAGGTTAAGTGAGGTTTTAACTGGTACTTCCCTCTGACATTATTCACAGAGCATCTCTCATGGTACATACTTTTTAAGACTATCTTTACATACACCCTGATCTCAGACCCAACCTCAAACAAATTCTGGCTCATTGTCCTGTCTAGTTTCACTCTAAATTCCCATATCCACAGCATCTCTTTGCCACCCTCAGCTTAAGCAAATTTGTATCTCAGAAGCAGCACCAATAACTAATATAATAACTAAGAAATAAATAATAATAAATAACTAAAATAATGATGCCAGTAATACTAATAAACAATGTTCAAACGTCCAGGTAAATTACCAGAAAGCAGTGCAGGGCCGAAGCAGCGCCCCCTGGTGGTCAGTAAACAAGAGCATGCTTTTCTCGTGAGACAGGAATGTTTCAGAGCCACGCCCATCAAGAAGCCACAACTCAGTGGAGGAGGCAGTTAAGAAAATAATTACAGAGAAGGCGTGGTGACTCAAGCCTGTAATCCCAGCACTGGGAAGGAAGGATGGAGAGTTCAAGATAAGCCTGGCCTATAAAGAGTTTGAGGCTAGCCAGGGCTATGGAGCAGGACTCAGTTGGGGGTAGTGTGGGAGATAATTATAGCAAGAGTAAGCGCCCAACTGGTGCACAGACCGTTTGCTTTTGGGCTGGTATCTTAGGCCAGTGATTCAGACCCAAATGAGGAGAGAACCTATAGGTCAGATCTTAGGTTGCACTTTAACTTCACGACAATTCATGACAATTAAGGGGTCAGTATCAGGACCACAAGGTGAGTTTTTCAATGCCTGTGGCTGAAGACTCCAGGAGTTGAAAACTAACGTGGTGGCATGTCACGTGTTCGTCGGCTTGTTTGTTTGTTTGGAATGGGTTGGGGTTTAGGTTTGTTTGTTTAACTCACTCACTCATTACTTCTCCCAGAAGCAGTACTCTACACTCCCTGAAGATGCCAGGGCACGCAAAGAATGTCTGGGAAGTCTCTAGGGAAACGGCCCGGGGTCAGGACATTCCCGACCGTGAGTCTGAACTTTGCACGCCCTCCGACTGTCACCGGACCCTAGGGCACTGAACTAAAAGGCCACTAAAGAGATTTCTGCTCGGTCCCGCCCGCAGCCAAGATTTTATCCAATCACAGCTTGCGACAAGACTGATGTGCCTTTTCTCCAATCACCGCCGAGGGGAGAAGGGGTTGTCGGGATGTGGCCGTAGGTAACATGGAGCCCTCGGTAGGATGAGTGTGAGCTTGCTGTTGCTGCCTGCTCCTGTCTTAGGGCCTCAACATGTTGGTACACTTATTTCGAGTCGGAATCCGGGGTGGTCCAGTCCTAGGATGGTCGCTAAAATCCTTGCGCTTCCAGACGTTCTCGGCCACCAGGTAAAAGAACAAGAGCTACTTGGAGTGTGGGCCATTGACCGGCCGGCAGCGCGCGGGGCCCGTCGGGAGGTGTAGTTCTGGGCTCGCGCGTGGCTTGCTGGGAGCTGTAGGCTAGCACGGAGGGAGTGGAATGTCACTCCCCAGGGAATTGGCCTCAATTATTTATGGCGCGTGTGGGTGCCAGCAGGAGGCTCCTCACGTCTGCATCTCCTAGCGGTCTGGACGCGGCCGACTTCAGACCGCTGGGCACACCCAGTTATCACTTGCCCACCAAGGAGCGCCATTCACAACCCACGTCCGCTCTCTGGTAATTCATCTCTGGAGATCTGCACGTATCTGGAATTGGTGCCCGCAGATATATACTATTGATAGTGCCTTGGCATTAGTCGAAATAATTTTAAATGATCAAAAGTGATTCCTGAGCTATCGAGATAGTTCAGCAGGTAAAGGCACTTGCCACCAAGCCTGAAGACCAAACGAAGAACTCATATGTAGGAGAGTTGCAGTTTTGGTAAATTATCTTTTTACCTCCACTACCTCAAACCCACTAAATAAGCAAATACATACACTTAAAACAAAACAAAACACTTACGTAGTTCCTAGCTGGGTTTAGTGGACCCTGTGAATTCAAGGCCAGCCTGGTTTATAGAGAGCTCTAAGCCAGACAGAATTACATAGTGAAATATCACCAGCATTCAGGGGAAAGCAGGAGGGTTGGCGGGAATTTGAAGCCAGCACAGTCTTCATAGTGAGTTCTGAGTGAACAAAACAAATAAGGAATTGATTGTTAGGGCTAGATGCATTTGCTGGGCATCTGAACTGGGCCTAGTACTGGTCAGTAATCCCATTTACTCAGGAGGCTGAGTCTAAATTTAACACACAGTGGAATGTATACCATATGTTCTAAGTTCAAGGCCTACTTGAACAACTTTGTAAGATCCTGTGTCAAAACAGAGTAAAAAACAACAATTCAGGTGGCTTAGTGGGTAAAGATGTGCCACCAACAAGATGTGAAAGGAGAGAACTGACTTCTGCAAGTTGTCCTTTGATCTCCACTCACTTGGGTGGGCTCGACAGACAGACACACACACACACATGCACAAATAAATAAATAAGAAATTGTAATAAATATTTAAAGTAAAGAGGGCTGAATCAGTGGCTCAGTGGTAGAATTTTTTTTTCCATACATGAACAATAGACTCATTTCCTAGTTCCCTTGGTGGAAAAAAATCTAATCCAAGCCAGGCAGTAGTTGTTCAGCATTTAATCCCAGCATTCGAGGGGCAGAGGCTCTCTGTGAGTTCAAAGCCATCCTGGTCTACAGAACAAGTTCCAGGATATCATGGCTACACAGAGAAACCCTTTCTCAAAAAGCTAAAATAAATAATAACTTTTTAAAATCCCTTTTTGGTAAGATAAAAAAAAAAAAAGAAAAAAAAAAAGAAAGAAAGAAAGAAAGAAAGAAAGAAAGAAAGAAAGAAAGAAAGAAAGAAAAGAAAAGAAAACTAACCCATATTGGTCCGGAGAGAAAAATGGGTTGAAAGCATGCAAGAATCCAAAGTCTAATTTTTTCTTTTTGTTGTTGTTGTTTTAAGACAAGGGTTTTCACTGTGTAGTTCTAGCTGGCCTGAAACTCACTCAGTAGACCAGTCTGACCTTGAGGTCACAAAGATCCATCTGCCTCTGCCTCTCCAATGCTGGGATTATAGGGGTGCTCTGCTACCCAGAAGCTAGATTTTTTTTTAATGATTTTATTTATTTATTTATTGTATGAGTGTTCTATCTGCATGTACACCTGAATGCCAGAAGAGGGCGCCAGTGCTGCCATGTGATTGCTGGGAGTCGAATTCAGGAAGAGCCTCTGAGCCATCTCTCCAGCCCCAGAGCCTAGAATTTAATTGTAAATATACTTCCAGAAGCAGCTGTTTCCCTGGGGGAGTCCAAGAGAAGATTGCTAAGGGTGGGCGATGTATGGAAAGCCCATCTGCTTGATGGAAGGAGGGCAAGCACTGAAGCTGGACGACCTGGTGCTGGGAAGTTGTCCACCGGCTGTTGGCAATTGCCATGCCTTCTTAGATTCTTGGCTTGGAGGAGATGAGAGAAGCTGGAAAGTAGCCATGGTAAATTATTAATGGTTTGAAAGCAATCTTTAGAAAAGAGTGAGGGTAAATAAAAGAGTTGCAGCTAAAAAAAAAAAAAAAAAAAAGAAAAGAGTGAGGGTGTTGATAATATTTAAATCATAAAGAGACACAAGGTAAGACCAAATAGATGAATGTGTTCGTTTCAGTTCATGAAAGGAATTTAGCAGATGGGGCCATTTTGAAAGGACTATAACAGAAACTATCAGAATATGTATTTCATAATTAAGGGTAGTACTTTGGAAGACATTTCAACTTTGGTGCACACAGCCATACACACGCACACACACACACACGCACGCACACACACGGTAGTGGGTTGTACTGGGCCATTGTATTAAGTTGCAGTGTACGGTGTCAGTCACAGTAAATCTGTATGGCGAGGTCAGTCTGCACGCATCTCTAACAAGGGCATGCACAGCTCCACAAACATCTGCTCAATAGACATCCCAGAGATTTCCTAAGTTCTAGAGCATAAAATGCCTCTGCCCTTCAGTAAGTTACTGTCTGATGGAAAATTAGGACAGTGATACAGGAAGAAAAGAGAGTGAGTTTTATCTAAAACTAAGGATAGATAGATAGATAGATAGATAGATAGATAGATAGATAGATAGATAGAGACATAAGGCATCGTGGACAAGAAAAGAAAAGCCAGGCAGGTGGCACAGGGCCAGGCACAGGCTTCCCTGAGAGGGGGGGGGAGTGAGATCTATAATGAGGGTCTGAAAATATGAAAAGCCATGACACGAAGGACCAAGCAAAGCCTCGCTCTGGCTTTTATTTATTTTTAGTTATGCGTGTGTGCATGGGTGTGCGCACATGAGCACAGGATTTGGGAAGCCGGAGGGAATGCATCCCCTCGAACTGCAGTTCCAGACAGTTGTGGACTTCCTGACAAGCATGCTGACGACACAACAGGCCCTCTATAAGAGCAGCACATGCTTTTAACTGCTTAGCCATCTCTCCAGCCCCTGTTTATTTTATTTTTTTTAAAGATTGATTTATTTATTATGTATACAGTGTTCTGTCTGCACACCAGAAAAGGACACCAGATTTCATTATAGATGGTTGTGAGCCACCGTGTGGTTGCTGGGAATTGAACTCAGGACCTCCGGAAGAGCAGCCAGCCCTTTTAACCTCTGAGCCATCTCTCCATTCTCCCTCTCCTTCCCCCTACTCCCCCTTTCCCCCTTTTATTTTATTTTGAGATAAGGTCTAACTTTGTAGCACAGACTGGCTTTGAACTTGAAATCTTCTACCCTCAGCCTTCCAAGTGCTGGGATTTCAGGAATGCACTACCGTGCCCTGCTTATATGTCCTTTTTTTTTTAAGTCTTTCCTCGTCATTAGTCTATTTTGAGCATTCCTCTGTGTACTTTTGGCCAGATAATTTCTGCTCCAAACAGGTTCCCTCTGTCCTGTCCTTCCCCTCTGGTTCCTCTCTATTATGACCTCTAAAGTACAAATCTGATTTTATTATACCTTATGCTAACAACTGCAGATGGCTCTGAAAACCCAGCATGGTGGCCTTCTGTCTAGGTGCTTTTCAGAGACTGGGGTCACTGCCCTTCCAGGGCACCTGTTTCCTTTCCCTTCCCTTGAGCTCTGTACAAGCTACATTGTTGCTGGAACTCTTACTGCAGGACACTCCTGAGAGCTTTCCTTGCCTGATCCTCCCAACTCCTACGTGCCCCAGTCTGAAGTTGGCCAGCACTCATTCACCAATGTCTTTTCTGATGCTGCAGTCAAACACAGCAGCACCTGCTCTCTGACCTCTATGTTTCCCCACCTACCCTCACGCCAACTAGCATGACCCCAGGGAAGGAACTTACTTTGCCGGACTTGGTCAGTGCCATAGTCTGTGATGCTGTAAGTTTACAGATGTTGTCAGCAGCTGAATCTGCGTTTCCATTTTCTACACGTGGGACCTGAAGGGGAAAAGGGCTTGGCCATCCATGAGGACGCTGAGATCAGTCCTTTGCAGTTTTCTTTCTGTTTACTGTCAGCGGTGGCAGAGGAACATATGGCCCTTTGTCTTCAGGTATCACACACTCAGGGCCTGCCAACAGGAGGTGGGGTAGTGGGTGAAATAAATCCAAAGATTTAAGTACCCTCTGGCCCTGACCACCATACATAGCCATGGCCATATCAAAATTAGGACAGTAGAATGAGCCTGGAGTCTGCAACGAGACAACAAAGTTCTTTCTTGACCACCTCATCAGTGGGAGCAAATTATACCGCCTCTCAGTTCTCCTTACCAAGTGGGAATACAGGCATCTCCCAGGATCAAGAGCTGTGGGCCATCAACTCACTATTGCTAGGTCATGTCTGCCATGTTGGTGACCTTGCACATGAGCAGGCCCAGGCACGGAGAAGAAGCTTGCCCCCAGGATTCTCTCTGAGCCTTCCTCTAGGAAGCCGTCATGGTCTGTCTCTTCTCTAGCAGGCTGGAGACCTGCATTGACTAGGTTGCTGGAGGCTAAATGGGGGCCTTGCTGGCTGCTGCTGGCTGGAGGACAGTGCTCAAGGGAGAGGCTTCTAGGATAATGCTCTGACAGCATTGCATTCCACAGCCACTCCACAAGTGGGCAGGTGTCTTACAAATCAAAGTTGCCTAAGAATGTGCTAAGATATTTGTTCTGGGTGAGGTAGCACATATCTGTAAGTCAGAGCTACTCAGAAGGCCGAGCCAGGAGGATCACTTGAGAGCAAAAGTTCAAGGCCAGGCTGGGGAATATTGAAAGATTTTTTTTTTTATCTCAAAATAAAATAAAATCATCCCTGGGCCAGGCGGTGGTGGCGCATACGTTTAAGCCCAGCACTCCGGAGGCAGAGGCAGGTGAAGCTCTGTAAGTTTGAGGCCCGCCTGGTCTACAGACGAGTTTCAGGGCTGTTAACACAGAGAAACCCTGTCTTGGAAAAAAAACAAACAAACAAAAAAAAAACCTGGGAGAGGCAGCAGATAAAATATTCTTCCAGAAGATGCTCAGCCACAGCCCATGGGAGGGTCAGTCAGTCATTCGAAGGCCTCAGGGCCACAGTTGTCAGTGCCTTTTTTTTTTTTTTTTTTTTTTTTTACTTTCAGGTCCTCAGATGACTGTTTCAGCTCATGCCTCCTCCGGGCTGTGGCCCGGCTGCGGTCACAGCTCCGGACTCAACTCCCTCGAGCCCCACCAGCTTCCCGCCGGAGCCCCTCTACCTGGTATTGGGTTGGGGGGACCTTGGTGGTCCCTGCAGTGCTGTGGCAGCATCCCCGTTTCTGCCTTCGAGCACTATGTGAGGCCGAAGGGTCTCCTGGCCACCCCACACCCGGTGCCCTGGAGCTGCGCTTTAACTGGAGGCTGTTCTGGCATTTCCTTCACCCCCACCTGCTGGCCCTGGGGGTAGCCATTGTGGTGAGGCTTTCCCTGCTCCTCCATGCTCAGTCTAGGATGGGCCTAGGCGCCTCCAAACCCAAGTTGCACAGGGACAGCATTTCCCCCTTGTGGAAATGGCAAGGGCTCTCCTACGCTCTGGGGCATCAGGATGACCTGTAAGAGGAGGCTGAGTTTGTGGGCTGTGAGGAGTCACGGGCTGGAGGTCTGGACTCGAGCTCTCAAAGAGGCACTTCTGTGACCACATGAGCAGCCACAGTGCCAGGCTCAGCAAGGGGAGAGGAAAAGCCAAAATCAGAGCTGGGGAGGGGGTGACATGGCCTCCTCTCCAAGTGTTCGTTCCCTATGTCCTCCTTATCCCAGTTGGCCTTGGGCGCCGCACTAGTGAATGTGCAGATCCCCTTGCTCCTCGGCCAGCTGGTGGAGATCGTGGCCAAGTACATGAGGGACCGCGTGGGGAGCTTCACTTCTGAGTCCAGTAGGCTCAGCACCCAGCTGCTCCTACTCTATGGTGTTCAGGTACAGCCAGGTGGGAGGGTCGGGGGCTCACAGCCGCCCTCGGGGGGCGTCCCTGAATGCCAGGTCTCTCCCACAGGGGCTGCTGACCTTCGGGTACCTAGTGCTGCTGTCCCACATCGGTGAGCGCATGGCCATGGACATGCGGAAAGCCCTCTTCAGCTCCCTGCTCAGGTACTGACAGCGGCAGGGGGGTGGGGCCAGGGTAACTGTGGGCTCCCACCAGCTCTGAAGTAACACTCCCCTCTCTTCCTCCACCTGCTGTCATCCTGTTTACCACCAGGCAAGACATTGCTTTCTTTGATGCCAAAAAGACAGGGCAGCTAGTGAGCCGCTTGACTACAGACGTGCAAGAGTTCAAGTCATCCTTCAAGCTTGTCATCTCACAGGTCAGTGGGTCAGGGCCCTGTGCAAATTCAGCAGGCCAGACTTGCCTGCCCCAGCCTTGACATCCTGACATTGCCTTGCCCAGCTCTTAGTGTAGATCAAGACTTGCTACTCCCTGAGGAAGGTATGAGAGAGGGAACAAAGAATCTGAAGGGAAGCACTGGCAAAGTGTCAAGGTCAGGACGGGCTGCTGTTTCAGGCTCTGAAACCCTGCCTCCCCTGGAAAGCCATTTTGAGGCAATTATGGGCGACCCTGGCGGGAGCAAATTCACTTGACCCAGCCTAATGCCTTTGTGCCGATTGCTAGCCAGCATCAAACCCATGCATGACTGTACTGCATACTGACAGCCCACCCTGTGTGCCCCTCTAGCACCTGGCCCCAGGTTTGGCAGGACACAGGTTTGGATTTGTCTAGAATAAAAAGGGTATGGCCCATGGACATTCTCACCCATCCCTTTCACAACAGTGATCAGATCCTGGATGGTGAAGAAAGGGTTTCATTTGGTAACCAGTGACTGCCCCTTGACCGCCAGGGCCTCTCCCTGTGGCTGGGGCCTCATAGTACAGAGCTGTGCCCCGCCCACCTTCAGCAGGACACTGGCCACCTGGTGCCGACGCTGTTTGCCTCCCACCCTCGTCTCTCTACTCAGGGACTGCGCAGCTGCACCCAGGTGATTGGTAGCCTGGTGTCCCTGTCTTTGCTGTCCCCGCGCCTTACACTGCTGCTGGCAGTCATCACACCTGCCCTCATGGGAGTGGGTACCATGATGGGTTCAGGTCTCCGAAAGTTGTCTCGCCAGTGTCAGGAGCAGGTACTGGAATTCTTGACTTGTTCCCCTTGTTTCTTCCTAGCATCTCTGGCCCATTCTTCTTGACCCTCCTCACTCCTCTTCCTGTCTACAACCTCTTCCCTATTTCCCTGTCTTCATGCAGGTTGCCAGGGCAACAGGTGTAGCAGACGAGGCCCTCGGCAATGTTCGGACTGTGCGGGCCTTTGCTATGGAGCAGAGGGAAGAGGAGTAAGTCCTAGAAGGCAGAGTATAAAGCGGGTCCATCTCTCTCACACACCTTCCCCTGTCCTGACCCTCAGCACAGCTGCTTCCTGAGTACCCAGCCTGGTCTTTCTTCCCAGACGCTATGAAGCAGAACTGGAGTCATGCTGCTGTAAGGCAGAAGAGCTGGGCAGGGGCATTGCCTTGTTCCAAGGGCTCTCCAACATCGCTTTCAACTGTGAGTGAATGAGTGAGCTTGGGAGGGGACATGGGCATAGGCTAGCTGGGAGCAAAGACAGGCAGCAGGCAGTCTCCACCTGCCTGGGTGTTCTAACGTTGAGCACCTTCACTGGCGAGGTGCCCCAGCTGCCAATACCTGTAGGTAATGAGTGATAGCATCCCTTAGCTTGTGGAGAGTGCTGTCCTCCTGCCCTGCCTCACTCCTATTTATTTTCATGCCACTGGGGTAGAACGGGGACCTTAATGTTAAGAAAGCATCCAACTACTGAGCTGTTTCTCCAGCCGTTTTTTGTTTGTTTGTTTGTTTGTTTGTTTCTGTTTTTGTTTATTTTTTCATGTATGTGTACATGTGTGACTGTATGTGGATGTGTCTGCCCACAGAGGCCCTAGAGCTGGAGTTAGAGGCAGTTGTGAGCAGCCTGATGTGGGTGCTGAGAACTGAACTCAGGTCCTCAGCATGAGCAGTATGTGCTCGTAACCACTGAGCCATCATCCCTGCCCTTTTATTTTTAGATAGAGACTCACTAAGTTACCCAGGCTGACTTCAGACTTCTTCTGTATCCCAGGCTGCCTTGAACTCATGATTCTCCTGCCTCAGCCTCATGAGTAAGTGTTACAGGCCTATATTGCTGTACCTGGGCTGCAGTTCAAGGCTGAGAGTCAGCTGGTTGCAGAGCAGGGTTAAGACTCGGGACTCAGCCCTCATCCCTTGCCACTTCCTGCCTCACTGCCTGGCCCCTTTCTGTGTAGGTATGGTCTTGGGCACCCTGTTCGTTGGGGGCTCCCTTGTGGCTGGACAGCAGCTGAAAGGGGGAGACCTCATGTCCTTCCTGGTGGCTTCCCAGACAGTACAGAGGTGAGTGGGGAATACTCTCATCTCTCAGGACTCTCCCTCCCACACCCCCTCAATACTTCCAGAACCCTGCTTACTTGGGGAATAGAGATGTCAGTGTACTCGGGGGCAGGGCTGTTGCCTAGCGCTAACCCTGGTCCTCAAGGGAAACACAACAGGGAAGAGCCCCTAAAACTTCCACAAGAGCCTCCTCAGGCTCCACTGGGCCTGCATTCAGGGATGCAGTCAGCACCATTAGCTTTCCCAACAACTCTCAAGTGTCCCTGAGAAGCTTTTAAGAAAAAAAAATTAATTGTGGTGAAACAGACAGTGGGAATTTTACTGCCCTAGCCATTTTAAAGTGTATGCTTCAGTAGTGTTATGCATGTCCCAGTGTTTTCAGCTACCACAGACACCATCACCAGAAGTCTGTCTTCTTACAAAAGTGACATAAAATTTCATTTCCTGTGGGGAGGGGGGTGGGACTGGGAGGCAAGGTGGAATGGGGCTACAACAAGGATGTAAATGAATAAAAAAATAAATAAATAAATAAATAAATAAATAAATAAATAAATAAATAAATAAAATTCATTCCGATTAAATAAATACTAGCTCCCCATTCCTCCCAGCTCTGGTACCTCCTTCTGCCTCTGTGACTCTGACCACACGGAAGTGTAGTTACACATCATCCTTCCCTTTGTGCCTGGCTGGTTTCACCTAGCACAGTGCTGGGGGGACAAATGGGGAGCCCCTTCATGTTGTGGCATGTGTCAGGACTGGGTATTTATAGACCTTCCTTGAGAGGCTTTTTAAGGGCTGTCTTGGCCTCAGACCACTTTTTAGAATGAGACACAGACCCCTGCTCCACAAATGCTACTCCTGTAGCCTTCATTTCCTGTGCAGCCACCTGGAGCTCATCTACCACCTTGGCCATAAGGTATCCTCAGTGGGCTGCCCTGGCAGGCCTCTAATCTAATCCCCTTCTCGTCCTCAGCGAAACCCAAGCACTTCCTAATATTGTTTTCTACCTTGCTCTCCCCATCCATAGCAAATATGCAAATAAAAACAACATATAAATGTATGTTATAATAATTAAAGAGCGAGTATGCTGTGATAAATAAAGAGCAAAGACGTATTAGCACCAACAGTGTCAAGAAGCATCCTCCTCAAATTGGTCCTTCCCCACAGAGGTGGCACTCGATCAGTGGTGCCCGGTCCCTGCCCAGAGGCCTATCTTGCCATTGCTGTGACTCCACAGTTTCTTAGGGAGAGGCTCAGTGTCTGCTTGACACTGTCCAGTGTGAAGTAAGGCCAACTCAAGGGTGGTGGGACAGTCTCATCCCCACCACAGCGGGGGTCTGCAGAGCACACCCCTGTGCACTGGTTCCCAGAGCTTCTGCTCCACACCAAGGACCCTCAGACCTCTGGCCCCAGAAGCCTTATCTGTCCTCTGGCTCAGCAGCTGTTCCTTCCTGCCTTTTCCATGTAGGTACTCTGATTGCAGAAGAGGTGGAGATTACCGTGTCCCCTCCGCTACCTTGCATTCCTCATGCTGACCTAATTCCCTGATCAGCGTGGGCTCCAACCCCTGATGACTTTCCAGTCCTTTCTAGTCCTGAGGACTCAGATGAACGGCTTGGCTCTGCAACCTGGGCACACACCTCTCTTTTTCATGTTCTTACATGCCTGCTGTTTTCAGTCTACTATTCAGCCCTAAGCAGTGCCGTGCTTATAACTGCAGGGCAGCCCAGAGAGCAGCCTGGACTGTCTCAGGCCCCTGACCAGGTCACCACCACTAGCCACCTGGAGGAACTGTCTCCTTGAGGAAGCTACTGTGTTTCTTCCTGGTTCTTGCTGTGTATCCAAGGGCCCATGTGTCAGAGCTGGGGGCCAAAGGGAGAGATGAGCAGGGCGTCACAGCTCCAGCCAAGGGTGCCTTTTGGCAGAGAATGTGTGGTCCCCAGATAGGGAATCTTTCCAGGCCAGTTTACTTCATCATACTCTACAGCTGGCCTCACTGTGCCGGCTCTCAGAGCAAGGGCAGGGCAACCCCATGAGTCATGTGTGTTTGGATTTCAGTTGCAGCTGGCCCCTTTGCCAGGCTGTCATGGATTACTGGTGTCCTGTGAGCTGGGTCCATCCACATCTACCTAGGTCCTCCCACCACAGCCTGCCTACTCCTGGCAAGTGCCTGTTGCCCTGAGTCTGTCGTAACTGTTTCCCTGAGAACTTTGGGTGCTTAACCCAGCACAGGAAGAAGTAGATTTGGTCCGTAGCTTGCTGGGATGGTAGTCTTTCCTCTTCTCAGAAATGACCCATTGCGCACTGTGGCATACACAAGTCATGGGTCGGCTAAGCCACGGGGGACGGTGACTAAGGCTGTTGACTCATCTTCCTCCGTAGCTCACAGCAGGCGACCAGCCCCAGCCCTGCCAAGACAAGGGAGGTGACCCACTGTCTAGACAGATAAACACATAGCATCTTCTACACGTACCCACCTTTAGGGCAAGCCCACAGTGAAATCTTCATCAGGGAATTTTGCTTTGGGGGCTCCTCAGGGCTTTCCCTTTTAGGCCCCCTGTCTCTGTGTTCTTTGTCCAGAAGGGCTTAACTTTTTTTCCACCTTAATTTAAAAGTAAGTCCTTGCTTCCGAGAAGTCTAGCATTAGATCTGACCTCCCACTTCGGACCTATCCTTACCCCTGTGAGCTCTGTCAAGGCATCTGTGCAGTTAGAGCAGGTAGATGGTATCAGTTAGGCCCCTTCCGGTGGGCCGATGTCCTCCCTCATGCTGTGGGTGGCCTTCACCCTGTCCCCTGGAGGCCTGGAAAACATGTGGGCCTGCCCCTGAGTTCCAGGCATTTGCCCCTCACCCACTGGCTCCTGGACCCCTCTCCCCTGCTTAGCAGATCCTAGCTTAGGCAGCAGACAACTGGTACTGTGTAACTGAAGAGAGGACAGAACAGGTGTCACAGGGTCCTGAGGCTCCTGTAGCCATAAGATCCTGGGGGCCTTCTGTGCATTAGCCCTGTGTCCTTGCCTCCCCTACCACAATTTTCCCTTCTCTCTAGCTCTTGCTAACCTATTCTAACCCTCTTTCCTCCTGGTAGGTCTATGGCCAGCCTCTCTGTCCTCTTTGGTCAGGTAAGTGCCCACGTCTGGGATAGTCTCATCCATCACTAGAGAAGGTGTGCATGTTTTTGTCTGTGTCTGTGTGTGTGTTTGTGTTTGTGTGTGTTGGCTGCTGTGAATACTGCCTATGGTTGGGCATGAGCAGAGGCAGAAAAGAACAGGGTTTTTGAACCCCAGGACCACAGTCTGGCTCCACTCTGCAGTCTATCATGAGGGCCCTGGACACACTGCAGCCCTATCCGGTACCCAGAAGTCCCCTTCCGTGGAGCCCCAGTTTTTATCTCGACCATGAACTCCATTCCCACTGCAGGTGGTTCGTGGGCTGAGTGCAGGTGCCCGTGTCTTTGATTACATGGCCCTGAGCCCTTGCATCCCATTGACGGGGGGCTGCTACATCCCCAGCAAGGACCTCCGTGGCTCCATCACCTTCCAGAATGTCAGCTTCAGGTCAGCATCGGTGGGTAGGCTGAGAAAAGGGGTCTTTGGGAATGAGAATGAGGGCATGTCAGGTGGCATTTAACTAACTGCTCCCTGTGAACAAGCCCCTGTGAGGGGACTTAGGGAAGTAAGGGCCGGGAGCCTGCTCTGACTAGGGCTTTCTTGGCCACCCTCAGCTATCCCTGCCGCCCTGGCTTCGAAGTACTCAAGGACTTCACCCTGACGCTGCCCCCTGGAAAGATTGTGGCTCTTGTGGGCCAGTCTGGAGGAGGTAAGAGGAAGCTCACCATCTTCCATCCTCTGGTTTAGTTTTTGGTAGCCACTTGAAGCAGGACTGATAGCAAGCCATTAGTGGTTCCTGCTTTTACCTGGGATGGGGCATTCTCTGTTCTACAGGGGTTTCTTTGCTGGGAGATTATCCAAAACCCTCCTTCTCCCCCCAACTCCCCCTCCCCCTCGCCGCTCCAGGAAAGACCACAGTCGCTTCCCTGCTGGAGCGCTTCTATGACCCCACAGCTGGCATGGTGACACTGGATGGGCATGACCTGCGTACTCTCGACCCTTCCTGGCTCCGGGGCCAGGTTATAGGTTTCATCAGCCAGGTGAAGGGCAGAGGTTGGGGAGGGTCTGAAAAGCAAGACTGGGACCTCTTTTCTTTCTTCCCCACTTTCCTCCCTGCTCCTCTGAGGATGTCCATGGCCTTCACGATGCCTAGCCATCCTCTGGGTCCAGGATGTCCCTCTCCTAGACAGCTGCAGCTGTGTCCTTGTACTCCAGGGCATAGACACTGCTCCAGTGGGCTGCAGTCTTAGGATCCCAAAGCAGTGGTTCTAAGACTACCAGTGACCATCACCCACCAAGCCCAACAAGGAGCCATTTTTTTTCTTTGTGGATTTGAGATAAAGCCAGCATACCATTGTAGCAGGGGCAGCTACCCACATGCAGGAAGAGACCGAAACTCAAATGGCCTCCTATCAGTTTATAGGGCCTGTCCATGATGACCTGTAGTGAGGTAGTCTGTGTCCTCTGTGGGAGGGACCTCTGTTTCCCTGTAATACTTCTGAGGCTGACTGAAGAGTATAGCCTGTAGATACTATCTCTGTGTCCCCGTCCCCCTCAACCCTGCAGGAGCCAGTCCTGTTTGGAACAACCATCATGGAGAATATCCGATTTGGGAAAGTGGGAGCTTCTGATGAAGAGGTATATGCAGCTGCGCGAGAAGCCAATGCCCACGAGTTCATCAGCAGATTCCCTGATGGCTACAGCACCATGGTCGGTGGGTCCCTTGGTGGGAAGCAGCTGGGTCAGCAGGGCAGTGGTAAGGCCTAGGAGCTTAGCTCTATGGGCATGGAGCAACTCAGGCTGACTCTCCAGAGGGGCAGCCAGGAGACAGTCAAGCCAGGAAAAACCAAACCGTGGCTGAGGGGACAAAGATGGCTTTACAGAGACAGAAGAGCACCAGCCTGTATGGCTCAGGCATAACAGGCTAGGCAGGGCTCTGAGAGATGAGGGATACAAGAAAGGTAAATGAGAGAACCCTGGCGACACACTTGTACACTCTGGAGCCTATCACAGCCCGAGACAGGAACCAGGGCTTCTCTCAAAACTGTCCCTGCTCTTCTGGTTTCTGGACAGCTGTAGTTCTGTTCTTTGGTGGCATCCCTCAGCACAACAGGCAGGTGTCTTGTGCAGGCCTTTCCTGTCTTCAGGGTACCGGACCATACAATGGCATACTAGCTTGTGCCCATGGCAGCCTAAGTCTTTGGTAGCCATTCCCATAGCTCTCTGCCTGTCTCTGGGGCTGTATGTACCATATACAGAGTACGTACTGCCCAGTGCTTGGCTATGCTTGTCTTTAGCAGTCCCTCCAGGTCCTGACATGGCTGTGCTCACATGCTTAGCCCTCTGTGCTGTTGTGATGGGAGACCCTTGTCATCTTTTCCTTTGCCACTTCCTTGTTCTTTTAATTCCAGTGTATCTCTTGCTTGTTGGGGCTTCCCTGGATTGCTCCCCTTATTGACCTGTGATCCTGACATCACTTTGCAGTCCCTTGAGGTTATTTGTGGCTCCCAGGTTGTCACTTCTGTCCTCTATGGCTTCAAATCGCTCTGTGTTTAGTATCTTTGTGTTGTGCAGCCCATGCTTGGGTGCCAAGTGGTCTTACTGCAGCCAAGGCCAGGATCCAGAAAGAGAGTTGTTGCTGTAGGCACCTGGTGAGAGCTGCCCATTCAGCTCAGAGACCCACCTAGGAAGGGACACTCATGCAAGACACATGTTTTGGGTGCACAATCATGCTGGAGCAGGCAGACTGACAAGTATGAACATGGGGTGGGCTGGGGGTGGGGTCCTTAGAGGAGCCTGATGGGAGTTTGTAAGTATCCAGTGCCATTTGCCTGCCACCTCCAAGTGTGGAGCTAAGGATCCCTTTAGACCACTGTCTTGTGCGCTCTTTCCCTAGGTGAGCGGGGCACAACCTTGTCTGGTGGCCAGAAGCAACGCCTAGCCATTGCACGTGCCCTCATCAAGCAGCCCACCGTGTTGATCCTGGACGAGGCCACCAGTGCACTCGATGCAGAATCAGAGAGGGTAGTACAGGAGGCGCTGGACCGGGCCAGTGCTGGTCGCACTGTGTTGGTCATTGCCCACCGGCTCAGCACTGTCCGCGCAGCCCACTGCATCGTTGTCATGGCCAATGGCCAGGTCTATGAGGTCAGTCGGGCTGGGAATCGGCAGTGGCTCAGGTAGCATAGCTAAGCTATATGAGCCTGGCCTGGTTCCAGGTGCTTGAGGTCATGTTCTGGGAACGGCACCCCAGCAGATCAAGGTCTTTCTGTCCTTGGATAAGCCCTGGCCTCTGGCCTCTGGGAAAGCTGAGCTGCAGGCTCCCAGGACCAGAGGATGTATATGGTGTTGGTGAGGAGACTGAGGCAGAGCTGGCCACCCAGGGGCTAAGCTGCAGAGAGACTGTGTCAAGGACTCTTCCAGTAGCAGTCAGGGCAGAATCAGAGTGCATGCATGTGTACCCCACAGCCCCAAGCTGAAGGAGATGAGGCATCAGACCTCTCAGTGTCAACTGAGTAGGAGAGGGCACTGACTGATAAAGCTGTACCCAAGGTAGTTCCTGTAAAATGAGTTCAGAGTTGTCAAGAGTCCCTAGAAGGGACATCACCTTAAGTGGCTATGAGCCTCCCAGGTGATGGAGATCAGTCCTGCTGGTGCTCTGAGTTTAGCTCTGTTGAAATGAGCCTCCTTCTGTCTCCAGGCTGGGACCCACGAAGAACTCCTTAAAAAAGGTGGGCTCTACGCAGAGCTTATCCGGAGACAAGCCCTGGATAGCCCGCTGACCTCAGCCACACCTGCAGAGAAGCCTGAAGACCCCAGGAGCTACCAACAGAAAGCCTGAGAGGCCCCCCAGGGCAGGTCACTGCCAGGCATCAGCCTGGGGCTGGAGGCCTGCTAGAGACAGAGCCCTTGAAGGGCCAGTGTGCTGGGGTGTAGCCTACACTCCTGTTTCGTTAAAGGGACTGAGTCCAACAGCTGGGGTAGGAAGGTGGCTTTCCTCCCTCCTGCTTCTGCCATGCTGGCTCAGTTCTGTGGTCACCGGGATGTACACAGTGAGGCAGAGTCGCTGAGCACCTCTGCTTGACCCTCTCAGTCTGACCCAGCTCTACCCAACACTCACTCTGGGGCACTGAAAATTCATGGTCTGGACAGGCCCGGTAGAATGGGCTGTAATCTCAGTACTTGGGAGACAGAAGTAGGAGGATCAAGAGTTCAAGGCCATCCTGGGCTACATAGTAAAACCCTATCTCAAAAAAAAAAAAAAAAAAAAAAAAAGAAGAAGAAGAAAAACCTAAATAAATGTAATAAAAGAAATTTTGAAAGAGGCTGAGGCTGAAGCTTAGTACAGAGTGCTTGCCTGCTATGTTTGGGGCCTAGATTCAATGCTTAGTACTGCAAATAGAAAAATAAAACCCGGGGTTGGAGAGTAACCCAGGACCTCAGACATAGGCTATGTCCCACCCTAAGTAGGCCCATACACCGCCAGCCTTACCCTTGCATCCAAAATGTGTCTCTTGGCCCATCCTCCACACAGCCATAGTCCGGGCTTCTGGCAGAATGAAATGGTAGTGGTCCATTGTACAAGAAGCTCCCGCTACCATGCTGTGCCCTGTGTGCCTCAGTCAGACCTGGTGAGACTGCAGAGCCAAAGACAAGACACTGAAGGGGCTGAGACTGGGCCACGTGTACACCAGAACACTCAGAGCAAGGCATAGGGCCAGCCAGTACAAACCCGGCATGGAGGTGCACACCTGTAAGCCCAGATGGGGCCTGGAGGCAGGGTGATCAGTTGAGACCACCCTTGGCTGCATAGAGAGTTTGATGCTAGCCTGGCCTCATGAGAGCTGTCCCAGAGGTAGAAAGCACGGCCAATACAAAATACAATGAGGCTGACATGAGTAACAAGGACCCTGGGAGTCTTAAAGGGGTTAAGCAGACAGCCTGAGCGGCTTGAGTTGGTGGCCCCAAAGCTGCAAATGAGGCAAGCCAGGGCCTCCATTGGCTTCTCAGGTGTAAGAAAGACCCTCTACACTGCACTGCTGCCTCAGAGCATCAGGACTTTCTCTTAAGCTGCTGATCTACCTCACTCCTAAAGGATCATGGCCCCAGCCTTGGTACTGTAGGTCACTTCCCACTGAGAATCCATCCCTGGCCAGCCACATCTGGGTTGTAGGACTCTGTGCAGACAAAGGAACCAGGCCAGGGGAGAGGTGCTGTAACTCCATAGCCAGACAAGTATTTTGTACTTTTCATGTGGCAAAGAAGAACGGTCTTTCAGGAGTGAGGGGTGTAGGGTGCAGAAATGGTTGCTGTTGGAGCCAGTGTAGGAAAGGTGGTGGTTCAGCTGAGTGCAGAAGCTGAGGTGGGGCTTGTGCTTAGGGCCGCATATACTGCCATGAGGACAAGGAACCCGAGAACCCTAGTCCATAGCGCCCTAGTTTGCTGTCTAGTGACAGTCCAGGAAGCAGAATTCTGGGGTGCATTTCCTGGCCAGTGCCTCCCCAACCCCCTGCCAAGTGAAACTTAGGGCACGGCCTCTGCTTTCCATAGAAACGCCCCTGTTTGGCCTTACCCTTTGTCCAGTTGGGACATAAAATCTTCACGGAGCAGCCAGCCGAGTGGCCCCTCATGCACAGTCACCAGATTCTCAGCTCCGATGGCTACAGGATGACTGCCCACCAGGGAATGGGACGCTGTGGTCAACGGCTGGTGACCCCACCCTGTAGCTTTGTTTACCCTGTCACCTGGCTTTCCCCTTCCCTCAGAGAAAAGCAGTTTGGCTGCACTTGCTCTCAAGGAAGTTAAGTGGGGCATTTCGTAACGATGCCCTTAAAAACCACAGTGTAGTAGCCCCAGAAAGTGGTCACCATCTGGGCCACAAGCCATTTTTACTCAGCTATCCTTCCTAAGATGTTACTTGCCTAGCCTGTGCCACTAAGCTTGGGACAGTTTCTGAGACTGTGAGCCCTGAGTGCTTGCTTAGGAGGACCAGTGTGCATACAGTTAGGCAGCAGTGTGCCTGATTGGTTGGTGGAATTATGTCCCCACCACTCATGGCCAGAAGCCACCAAATGAAGCTGGCAGTCTCCGGTGCTTTTCAAGGACGTGGAATACAAGTACAATCCTGGGGTCAGTGGAATTGCTCAACAAGTGGGAACACCTGCTGGCAAACCTGAGTTCAGTCCCCTAAAACTCAGGTGGTGCCTGAGAAACTCCCAAAGGTTATCCTCTGACTTCCGTATACATGACACACATACCCAATAAATAAATAAATAAATAAACATTAGAAAAGTGTATCAAATAATGTCTGATTACTTCTGAGCATACAAGGTTTTGCCCAATTCCTAGATACATGAGGTAAATGAAAGTTTACCCAGTACAGAACATGACAGTGACAAGAACCAGGTACCCGTGCAGATGTCCTTGGGCTACTGGCCCTTCTTGTCTGAGTCCCTTGAACTCACTCATCTAAGCCAGCTAGCTCTGAGCTTTAGGTTGTCTCCTCCAGCTCTGGAAGCACACACCCCACCCTGAAGCTCTCTCCTTACCTTCCTTTCTGAATTCCTGGAAGTAGCTCCATGCCTCGGACCGCATGCTGCCTTTGCCCCGAGGAGGGTAGGGTACAGGGAGATGACTCAGTGGCCTGGATCCCCTCCAGGCATATTCCCTGGTCAAGATTAATGGGAAAGCAAAATGGCATAACTGCTATTGGGGTTGGGGTAGGGGATCTGATGACATCTATCAAATTAGCAAGGCAGTGCCCTCAACCCAGGAACTGTCTCCGGGAGTTTCTCTGCCATTGATAGTGAAGGTGCTCAAGGCTGGAAACTCCAGTGGTTATCAGAGAAGACATAAGACAGGACAGCACCTCCACATGATGGACTAGGACCACCTTCAGAAATGAGGGAGCTTTTCGGGTGCTGGCGGTCATGATCCCTAGACTATGTTAATTGAGAGAGGGAGATGTAAAGTCACAGGGTACCCTGGACACCCTGAGGATGGCGGGAGAGTCCACAGTCATTGTGAAGGAGGACAGCCTCACCACTAGCAGGGTGTGAGAATGAGCTGCGGCCTGGGGCCCCAGGCAGAGGAGGACGCTCAGTATGCAGAAGGCCTCTGGATATAGAACCTGAAGAGAGGCCCAGTCATGCAGTGTTGCTAAGATGCTGGGGTCATAGGAAGAGAAAATCTGCCTGTGCCAAACCTCCCACCACTCTATAACTTGGTCAAGAGCCAAGTCCACTCTGCAAAAATACAAATGATGCCAGGTGGGTTCATGGAAGGGCAGGAGAGGCAAAAGGAGAGAGGGGCTGGATCAAGATTCAGCAGCTGACCCTCAGGTAGCCCTCAGGGCTAAAGGGGCCCAAAGACATCCCCAACCCCAATGTATATCTGGGTTTCCTTCAAGCCCTACCCTAGACTGCTGTGGTTTCCTCCTGGCGCCTCTGGTCTCTGACAGCAGTGACTCCCCCCCATGCTGCACTAATGGCTCAGCCTGGGGCCCCAGGGACCTTCCCTGCCCCTCCAGACTGCTCTGCTGGCCCCCCAGCCCCCCTCATGCTGAAACCTAATCCTCTGCAGCAGCTTTAGCTCAGTCTTGCTCTGCAGCCCCTGCCTGCCACTACCTCCTGCGCCCTACCTGGTCTTTACTGCAGAGCCGTAGCCCCACGAAGCTAACGCCTGCCTGTTCTGGGGAAAGCAGAGCTGGACCGAAGTTCTCCTCATCCTGTCCTACCAGGCCAGTACTTTCACCTTTCAGTCTTGGCTCCTCCCTTCTCTCCACCTTTCTTCTCCTTTTCTCCCCTCCCTAGTCCTCTGCTAAGCCACCTGAATCCCATCTCAGCTCCCCCCCTCCGTTAGCCCTACAAAACATCCTGTCACTCCTTGGAAGCCCTGTACCCAGTCAGCAGACCCCTTCCTGGGCTCCAGCTATGAAACCCCCCTCCGGACTGGAGGAGGCCCCGAGGCGACAGGCCTCAGACATCCGGGTGTTTGCCAGCAGCTGTACGATGCATGGTCTGGGCCACGTCTTTGGCCCTGGAGGCCTGACCCTGCGCCGTGGGATGTGGGCCACAGCTGTGCTCCTGTCGCTGGCGGCCTTCCTCTACCAGGTGGCCGAGCGGGTGCGCTACTATGGGGAGTTTCATCATAAGACCACCTTAGATGAGCGTGAGAGCCACCAGCTTACCTTCCCAGCCGTCACTCTGTGTAACATCAACCCACTACGCCGCTCACGCCTCACACCCAATGACTTACACTGGGCCGGAACAGCGCTTCTGGGCCTGGACCCTGCGGAACATGCCGCCTACCTTCGTGCCCTGGGCCAGCCCCCTGCACCGCCTGGCTTCATGCCCAGTCCCACCTTTGACATGGTACAACTCTACGCCAGAGCCGGCCACTCCCTTGAGGACATGTTGCTGGACTGCCGCTACCGTGGCCAGCCTTGTGGGCCTGAGAACTTCACAGTGGTGAGCCAGTGGCCCTAAGACTCCTACTCAGGGACCACACTCTTCAGCCTTGTCAGCCCGTCTCCCCACAACAGGAAACCACCATAACACCCCTGCCTAAATAGCCCTTCCTTCCTGCTGGCCGCAGGCCCTCCATCCAAGCCGTTCTGTCTAGTCCAGCTGCTTCTGGAGGCTCTCTTCATCTCAGTTAGACATTTGTGCACCTGGCCATGCCTCTCAGCAAGGACACTGACCCAAGGAAGCTGCAGGGTCAAGGGCTAGTTGGTGGACGGACACACTGCTCTTAGGGTAGAATGCTGTCCCCTGCGACTATTCTGGGACAGAAGACCCCTGTCTTGCAAGAGAGGACTTACTTTCCTCCTCCTCATCTGAATTTTTCCACCCCAAAGAATAGGTCTATTTTCTTTGGTTTCAATTACCCCCATAGGCTCTGGCTTTGTCAAGAGGCAGAGGAGTTGTCCTGAAGCAGGAGGCTTCCCCACTCCACAGAGCCACATGAGGCTAAGGACACTGAGATGTGGGCTTCAGAGTTCCTTCAAGGAGGGTGGGAGAACTTGCTTTGCTGCATGAGATCCAGTCTCAAAAAATTCCAAAACATAAAACAAGCGTGGTGGTGCCTACCTTTAATCCCAGAGTCTGGGGAACAGAGGCAGGAGGATCCCCATGAGTTTGTGGCCAGCCTCCTCTACATAGTGTAACAAGTTTTAGGACTACATAAAGAAACCCTGTCTCAAAAAAGAAAATCTTAAGAAAATTAGGACAAGCCTTTAATCAGTGCACACATTTAATCCCAGTAGTTGGGAGGCAGAGGCAGAGGCAGGAAGATCTTTTTGAGTTTAAGGCCTTCCTGGTCTACAGAGTAAGTTGCAGAACAGCCAGAGCTGTTACACAGAGAAACTCTCTCTCTCTCTCTCTCTCTCTCACACACACATACACAAAGAAAGAAGGAAGAAAGGAAGGAAGGAAGGAAGGAAGGAGGGAGGGAGGGAGGGAGGGAAGGAAGGAAGGAAGGAAGGAAGGAAGGAAGGAAGGAAGGAAGGAAGGAAGGAAGGAAAATTAGTTGGACAGGGTGGAAATTCAGCTAGGTCACCTAGACTTAGTTACCTAGGTTCCCCCTAGGAACTTAGGCAACACATCCAAGAACTATTGAACTTGGACTTCCGCTTCCAGGAAGTGGGAGGATTTCTCACTGGGTACGATGGTTCATTCCTGTAATCTTGGCACTCGGTATTCGGATGCAGGAGAATCAGGAGCTCAAGGCCATCTCGGCTACACACCAAGCAGCAAACAAGCCCAGGCTGCATCAGAACTTGTCTCAAGCCCTGCCCCCTGCCCCCTCCCTCCCCCCCAGCGTCAAAACCCCAAACGACAAAGAGAAGGGGCTCAAGGAGGGGCGTAGTCCCATTCCCAAGGGCTTGCTTCAGAGAGGGACCGTCCTTTTCTGCCCCCAGATCTTCACTCGAATGGGGCAATGCTACACCTTCAACTCCGGTGCCGACGGGGCAGAGCTGCTCACCACTCCAAAGGGTGGTGCTGGCAATGGGTTGGAGGTTATGCTGGACGTACAACAGGAGGAGTATCTGCCCATCTGGAAGGACATGGGTGAGGGGCACAGGGTCGTCTGCCTGTGAGGAGGGATGAGGGTGGAGGCTTGCACGAGGCTGGGAAATCTCAGAGACGATGGGAAGGAGAGGAGGCAGATGCATAGAGAGCAGCCCCAAAGCATGTCTTTTTGTGAGAAGAGGCAGGGCTGGCTCTTCCAAATCCTGAGGAGAGGAGCCGCCAAGGGAGTCTCTCCTGGGAGTGCCTGGAGCCTTAAAGGCCCCTCCCCGCAGAAGAGACCCCGTTTGAAGTGGGGATCCGAGTGCAGATCCACAGCCAGGAGGAGCCCCCTGCCATTGACCAGCTGGGCTTCGGGGCAGCCCCAGGCCACCAGACTTTTGTGTCCTGCCAGCAGCAGCAAGTATTTTGGTTCATTTCTCTGTGCCCCTCACCCTCCCCAAGCTCCTACCCTTCCCCAGAAGACCCTCAGACCCCAAGCCACGGTGCCTCAGCCTGTCCTTGGGTCCCTCTCCCCAGCAGCTCTATTACCCTAGTCTCCGAAACCGTGTCCCCTAACAGCTGAGCTTCCTGCCACCGCCCTGGGGCGACTGTAATACTGCATCTGTGGATCCCGACTTTGATCCGGAGCCCTCTGATCCCATGGGTTCCCCTAGCCCCAGCCCCAGCCCTCCTTATAGCTTAATAGGGTGTCGCCTGGCCTGTGAAACCCGCTATGTGGCTCGGAAATGTGGATGTCGCATGATGCATATGCCTGGTAAGGGACTGGGGTCTGTTCAAAGTAGGGAATGGGGATCCCCTAGGGGGCGCTCTCGGGCTCCCGGACTGTTCTGGTCGTCCTCTCCTAGGAAGCTCGCCAGTGTGCAGCCCCCAGCAGTACAAGGACTGTGCCAGCCCAGCTCTGGGTAAGGCACATCTCTTCAACTTCCCTGTGCTCATCCACTCGGCCGTTAATCCCAACCTTTCAGCCAAGTGGTCCTTATCCCTGCTTTGCGGCCTGCAGACGCCATGCTGCGAAAGGACACGTGTGTCTGTCCCAACCCGTGTGCCACCACGCGCTATGCCAAGGAGCTCTCCATGGTGCGGATTCCCAGCCGCGCTTCAGCTCGCTACCTGGCCCGGAAATACAACCGCAGCGAGACCTACATCACGTGAGCGGGGGAGAGTACCAAGGCTGGAGGCCCTGTCCCTGAGTGGAGGGGCTCCTAGCAGGGTCATTCTGCACGCAGCCCAGGCTGGATTCATGTCCACATCATAACAGGGTCTGGGACTCTGGGCAAACTGCTTCAACTTTCTGACTTGGGGGAACGGGACTAACCCAAGGTTCTTGAAAGGGGCCAGAATGGCCACACCTACTTCCAGCTGGCACCAGGTGGTGTCCAGGAAGCAGTTCTGGCTTCTTTTCCTCCAGGGAGAACGTACTGGTTCTGGATATCTTCTTTGAAGCCCTCAACTATGAGACAGTGGAGCAAAAGGCGGCCTACGAAGTGTCGGAGCTGCTGGGTGCGTAGGGAGTGCCTGGGTCTGCAGAGGTGTGGACAGGGCAGGCGACTGTGAGCTGACAACACTCTGCCTCCACAGGAGACATTGGGGGACAGATGGGACTGTTTATTGGAGCCAGCCTGCTTACCATCCTTGAGATCCTCGACTACCTCTGTGAGGTGGGACAGAACCCAGACACGACACGGGGAGGGATCAGGCCACAAGTGTCCAGGGAAGTCGATGTAGGCCACCCACGCTTGCCACCTGCCCCCAGGTTTTCCAAGACAGAGTCCTGGGCTATTTCTGGAACAGAAGGAGCTCTCAAAGGCGCTCTGGCAGTACTCTGGTAACAGCCCCCTTCCCCCCTCCCACCCCTAGCATTGTAGCCCTCACCCAAAACCTTACACATTTGGCCTAGGGGATACATATGTCAATCCTGGCTGGTCTCCACCCGACTCTCTGTCTTCCCACAGCTTCAAGAAGGGCTGAATGGCCATCGGACACATGTTCCCCATCTCAGCCTGGGCCCCAGGTAATAGGAAATATGCCCCATAGAGTCAAGGGACAGGGCAGCTCGAGAGGAGGGAGTTCGGATCCGGGGCAGACTAGGTGGAGGGGTCCTGTCCTAGTGCTGTGGCTTGTCCCATCAGGCCTCCTACCTCTCCCTGTGCTGTCGCCAAGACACTCTCTGCCTCCCACCGTACGTGTTACCTCGTCACAAGGCTTTAGACTGCCAGGACTGCTTGGCTGCACTGTGACATTTTGGACATGTCCAGCCTCTACATCTTTGCTGTCTTCACCCTAATAAAACTCGTGTACATGTGTCTCAGGTGATGCCTTATTGATCAGACACTAGCAGAGTCAGGGACAGACCTCGACCCGACCCCATCCACTGGCTAGCTGGGACCCAGGCTGAACAATTCTTTTGGGGGTGGGGGTGGGGGTGGGGCCGGGGATAATTTTAAAAGATCAATCAGTTGTACCTTAGTGTTAATGAGCTTATCAAATCCATTTTTCTTTTAATTTTGTTTTTCTTGTGCAATGGGGACTGAGCAGAGGGCCTGGAGGACTCCACTATGTAAGCGTTTTCCCGTGGAAGTACATTCCCATCACTTTTGTTCTTCTCAGTCAGGGTCTCAAATACTTCCAGCTTGGGTTGAACTGTGTTGCCAAAGATGATCTCGAACTCTTAGTCTTTCTGCTTCCACCTCCCAGAGGTTGAGATTATAGGCATATACCACCATGTTTGGCTTCCCAGCCCTTTTCATAGCTTGTTTATTTAGAAACACGGTCTTAACTAAGTTGTCAAGATTGCCTTGAACTCACTCTGCAGCCCACACAGGCCTTGCAGCTCTCTTGCCTCAGGCTACTTGGTAGCTTGGCATACAGGCCTGTACCACTAGATCCACCTCCTACCAACATCTAAGAAGGTAGAGCTTAGGTGTGATGGCCCGCAATAGGCATGGTCAGCAGGTATTCCCTGCACCAACAGTGTAGGCATGAGGCTCTAACTAGCTCAGCAAGAAGGTGGCAGTGGCAGGTTTACGCTAAAGGCTCTGGTCCATGGCAAGAACACAAGTTGGTGTCCTGCCTTGGAAGGTCATGCTATGGGAAAGTTCTTGCCTTGCCAACCTCTCAAGCAGGAGCTGACAGCCTTCTTGAGACAGTGGGCCTGAGAGCCCCCCCTTCCTCTTCCTGTCAGGAGGGCACCACTGGACCTCTGCCTCAGGTCCAGTTTCCTTCTTTCACTGCATCCCAACCACTGGAAAACTGGCAAACATGAATTGGGAAGGGCTGCTATGGAAGAGACCCACACAGCTCTCAGTCTCTCCTGCCCCGGCCTACAGCTTCAAGTGTGAGAAAACAGATGGAAGGCTCTATACAGGACAGAGATACCCACAGAGAGGTTTGGCCCATTCTCCCCATTCCGTCAAAGGCTCAACTCTGCACCCAGGGTATCTGGCCCTTCTAGGCAGAGAAGAAAAGTGCGCAGAAAGTATATAAGCCTGAGTATGGAAACAGGGCTGCCATGACACAATCAAAAGAACGGGACTCATGGTCTCCTGTCCTTGGTCTCAGGACAGGTAAAGAGACAGAGTCAACGGTGAGCAGCTTGTTGAACAAACTGCAGGCTGAATCACAGAGCAGGGGTCCCCAGCCACCCTTCAGAGCCACCCCACCACCATATCAGCAGACTGTGGGAAAGGAGCCAATTTATGAAATTAAATAAAGTCCATGGAGGGAGTGAAAACCGCAGGCCAGGGTCCCCCTACCCTGGCTGGATCCAGCACAGCTGGTGCTCAGCATCCCACACCCCACTTTTCCACCCTCCTGGGCGGGAGGCTTAAATAGGCCAGGCCCCAGCCTGGCCACCAGGGGTCAGGGGGCCTATGGGGGACAGAAGTCAGAGAAGTAGGGGTGCTGCAAGGCCTCCTCTGCTGAGATGCGCTGCACAGGGTTACACTTCAATAGGTTCTGCAGTGGGAAGAAAGGCAGAGGTGGGCTCAGACCAGGGTGGCCCACCATCTTTTTGTCCCTCTGGGCAAGCACCACAATCCCCAGTTTTTAGCCCTAAGCAGGCAAATGTCCCCATCTGCTTCTACCCCTAGGCACCTACCTGCAACAGGTCTCTCCCTGTGGCATTGAGCTTGGGTACGACATTCACCAAGGATGTTGTAGCTGGGTACATTGGGTAGGGCTGCAGAGGAGGGCCAGGCAGAGTCAGCTGGGTACAGAGCACAGAGTTGGAAAATAAAAGGGGCTTCTAATGAACCAAGACCTCCCATAGCCAGTCACACCTTATAGTCTGGCAGCTTGGTCATGGCTGGCCATTGCTCTTCAGTTGGTGTCCCTAGCAGTGTGTCCATGTGGTCAAGGGCCACTTGTCGGGAGGGTTACAGTTACATTTCAGAGGCACGTGGGGGGATTCCTCACTCCAACCTGCCCTTCTCTTACCTCATCTTGCTCTACACCCAGCCCAGGCAGAGATGAACCCCATTTTTATGGTGTTTACAGTGGCCAAGGAAAATCCAACCCTTAATGCTTGTGGTCCTAACAGACCAGTCATTTTCCTCCAAGAACCCCTGTTCTTTCATCTTAAAGGTCTACTGCAACAACTTCTAACTCCCTCATCAGGTGTGCTAACCTTACAACAGACATCTCTCTACAGTGACTCCATGAAAGGACAACGTGGAGGGCAAGAAATGGCTAACTCTCACCCCTGCTCTAAGCTCCATACCCACTCCCTTTCTACAAAGAGGTGAAGGAGAGTGGGCTAAGGGCCCCGGAAGGATATCGAAAGATCCTCTTTAGCTGGTCATCCACATCATTGCCAGGGAAGAGAGGCCGCCCTGCATTAGCCAGCTCTGAGGAAAAAAACAAGGATAAAACAATACATGAAGGATCTGTCATTCTGAGGTGCCCCATGTTTTCCAGCCCTAGCCCCAAGAGCCCCTCTCCCTTCCCTCACAAGAGGTCCTCTAGACCCTATTTGTTAACCCAACTGGGAAAGAAAAGTGCCTCTTCGGAACCCCAATGTGTCACCTGCAAAGATGCAGCCGGCTGACCACATGTCGATGGACGTGGAGTACAGCTTGGCCCCAAAGAGGACATCCGGTGGGCGGTACCACAGCGTGACCACCTGGAGAAGACCCCACCCACAGGGACCCCCCCTCCCACTTAGACAGCTGGAAGGAGGTCCAGAAGGAGGCTCAGGGAGCAGAGGAGACAATGTAGTATAGAGAAGCCACCAGGGGACTCCCTCCCTTCAACTTCATAGGCCACTTCCCAGGCTCACCTCAGCAGAGTAGCAGCGGACTGGGATACCAAAGGCTCGGGCCAGGCCAAAATCAGCCAATTTCAACTCCCCATTCTGAGGGGGATAGACAAAGGGGACATGGAGAAGGACTTTTAAATGGTTCAGGGCAGGCTCCAGCTCCCTCATCCTGTCCCTCGATGCTCCCCATCCCTGGCTTCAGCTTCTGTGTTCTCACTCCCTCTTCCCAGAGCAATACCCTGTTTATGAGCAGGTTCTGGGGCTTCAGGTCCCTATGCAGCACGTTTCGGCTGTGACAGAATCCCAGGCCTTTCAGCAGCTGGAAGAGGAATGACTGGGAAAAGGTAAGGGAGAGGAAGTCAGACCTGATGTGTCCTATAGCCCATGTGACCTGTAGCAAGCGGAGAAGTCCATCCAATTACCCTGTATTTGTATCTCTCTTTCTCTCTCTCACACACACATACACACACACACCAAAAGAAAGGGTCGGGTCCCCTGGAACTGGAGTTACAGACAGTTGTGAGCCACCCAATGTGAATACTGGGAACGGAATCTTCTGTACAAACAAGTGTTCTTAACAGCTGAGCTATCTTTCAGCCTCTCTTCTAGTTACTTCTGAGACTCTGTTTTGCAGGCACTAAGTAGTAGAGGTACAACAGTAACCAAATTGTCCTTGCTCTTCACTTTTCTGGACTGATAGGTTGGTGGGCCTTCCTGCATTCCCAGCCCATGCTGGTCTCCCCTACATGGCTGAAATTGAGCACATACACTATGACCATCAACACAAATACAAAGTACTCAGGACCTGATTCCCCTAGAACCCAGGCAAAGGCCCTTGATCTTGGGCCTAGAACAAGGACTCATAGCAAAACCTTCAGCAAATATTTTTTTCATTGACTTTTTTTTCTCTCTCTCTCTTAAGATTTACTTTATTTGTAAATTATGTATGTATGCATGTGCCCTTGGAGGACAGGAGTGGGGACTGGATCCCCAGGACCTGGAGTTACAGCTGGTTGTGAGCCCCCTCAGATGGGTTCTGGGAACTGAAATCACAACATCTGCAAGAGTAATGCGTGTTAACTGCTGAGCCATCTCTCTAATCCTTTTTTGTTTTGTTTTTGCTTTGATATTTGAGACAAGGCCCTGCTACATAGCTCAGGCTGGTCTTGAACTTGAGATCTTCCTGCCTCAGCCTTCTGAGTGCTAAAGTTTCAAGTATGGGCCACTATGAAGGGCTGGTATTTGATTTTTCTCATAGATCTCATCTCTGAGGTGCAAATGACATCACTGAAATCAGATACTGTACAAGTCATAAAGGACCACATAAAAATGTTCGCCAAGACTAGCAGTCCCTGGAGAGCAGAAACACGGTTTCTCTGGTACCCTCGGACCCCAACCTGGCACTCAAGGAGATAACTAGACACCCCTCCCCTCACCTTCACAATCTCAGGGTCCAGGTCACCATTGCAGCTGTCAAAATATTTCTTCAGGTCCTAAATAGGGATGGTGGTGAGGAGAAGAGGGCAAGTTCAACCTTAGTCTGGACTTCTGTACCCTCCCGTGACTACTTCCCCACAAGCTCCTCTTTCACCTGATCACAGAACTCAAAAACCAGTGTCAGCTTCTTGTCACTATGCAGGACATCATGAAGCCTAGGGAGAATGAAAGACGTAGTCAGATCTCCAGGTTGGCCTCTAACATCCCAATACCTGCCCAGTCTCAAGAGGATGCTCTACCTCCTCCAACAGACCTCACCTGACAATGTTTTTGTGCTTAAGTTCTTTGAGTAGGCAGATCTCCCGGAGGGCTGAACTTGGCACACCCTACAATATGCAAGGGGATAGTAGTCACAGAATGCTCAAGATAGGCTTTATACCCACCTCCCTAACCCCAGTCCTACCTCATCGTCATCATCCAGTCTGACACGCTTCAGAGCCACAATCTCATGGGTTTCTCGGTTTTTGGCCTTGAACACAGTTCCATAGGTGCCTAGGGGAAGGTCGGGGTTGAGGGAGAGGATCCTTCTCAACATTTTAGTGTGTAAGGGCAAGTTTTCAGGGTGAAGGCCAGATGTGGAGTAGTTCTATGAATGAGGATGCCAAGGAGAAGGTGCCTAAAAAGCTCAAGGTTTCAGCTGCAGGGAGAATCTGCTGTAAGCTCGGGGGATGGGAGGTAGGGTCGGGAAGTAGCATGGAGTCATCTAGGAGATGAATGAAGGCCTGCAAAAATGTTAAGGTTGGAGGTTCTGCAATGAATTGAAGCAGGGGTTCCAGGTGAGGTTTGCAAGTGATGCTGAGGCTAGGGGCCAGAAATGCAGGAAGTGCCGCGGTTGGGAAGACCGGTCCACAGAGACTGCTAAGACTAAGAGCAAGAGTTTGCCCGCAGATGCTAACACAGAGAGAAGGGTTGGTTTCTGCACCGAGTGTTGGGCTCAGCGGCCAGGGCTTTTGCCCAGTGCTGAGATCGGAGCCTGCAGGTATAGCTGGCGGTAAGGGAGCTGGGACTGCAAGCAGGGTTCTCAGAAAAGGACCTTGCAGGAACATCTCGTGGTTCCATTACCTTCCCCAATCTTCTCCAGTTTCTCGTATTTCTGCATCGCAGCGGCCGCGGGGACCCCTGCGGGCCCTCGGTTCTAAGACTCCCGGCCCCGGCGTTGCAGAGGAGGTGGTACCCACAGCCCAGCCCCGCCCACCCGCTCTCCACGCAGGGACGTCTGGGACTTGTAGTCCCGGGGTGGCCATGTTTCTTAAGAATGCCTGTGGCGGAGAACATGAGGACTACAAAGTCCAACAGGCTGCGCTCGGGCTCTCTGCAGAGATCAACTCCCAGGACTCGTTTCCACCGCGAAGGCAAACCTTAAACTTCAACTCCCAGGAAGCAACGCGTGTCCGCTTTTCGGGCGTCTCCGCCAAGGAGCGGAGCCTCCCAGTGTGCCCCGCTCTTGTTATTATTTCTTTTCTGTGCCCACAGCCTTCCAGAAAAGGGCCGCGCCGGGACTACGCGTTCCAGAATACTTTGAGGGTGGGGGTGGGGCGCTCTCTTCTTGTAGTTTGCGTTTTGTCGGCCTAGATCCCGGCAGCTGTTGGCTGGGCTCTGACCTGGTTGGGTGCATTGAGTCGCCAGCGACCTCCTGACAGCTTCAGCACTAGTTCTCACCTCTCCCTAGCCACCTGGTGACCCCAGGACTGATTGGGGAATGATTCTGAGCGATGTCTTACTGCTGATGACCTCACAGGGAACAGCTGACCACAGGGCTGGGCAGCGAGACAGGTGTGCCCCGTTAGAGGCTGGATTTGAGTGGAGGGACACACGCCAGAGACCCCTCTTTCTGCTGGGCCCATTTTATCGTCTCGAAATCCACCGGACTCCAGCGGTTCCACTTTGACATGCCGAGGCCAGCTGACTGGAGCCTGGGTATCCCCCAGATCCCAGTCTTCACAGCAGGCTCCCTGGAGTCAGCCAGGGTGTGGCCCACGAGGACTAGCAGGTCAGTTACTTCCCTTAACAGACAAGACCACAGACAGATGCTACACTTGCAGCAAGCAGCCTTTACCTCACCCTATAAAGGAGTTGATTATAGATTTTCTTGCACTGCTCTCTAATTGTCTCATGATTGCATTCTTGAGGGCTGTGAACCGGGCGAAAACGGCCCCAAACAGCATTCCTCAGCGCCGGAACCAGAGTAGGTGCTAACCATTTTTTGATTAACTCACTTAAATCTGAGCGCTTTTGCATAAACAATATTGTGATTTGCCCACGTGGCAGACTGGAGACGCATAAACTGCGTTCTTTATCTGAAATCATTGATAATTTAGTTGAAAAAAAAAAAAACAACAAGATGACACGCAAAGGTCTTTAAAATAGAGGTGTCGGCTATGAATAAGGTTCCATCCAGCCGCGGAGGAGGTCTAGCGAAAGTGAGGCATCCTCAACAAGTTGTCCTGTTTTCCATCAGTTCAGGGTCACGCTACCCAACTCCAGCGTCATTGCCCCTCACATTCGCGTGCCAATCCGTTCTCTCAGGCAGACACCGGGGCTTTCTTGGAGGCAGTGAGGTTATGTGGGCGGTGTCCTTGAAGAGCCTCAACGCCAGAGAATCTGCAGCTCAACTCCCTGCGCCTCAGTTTCCTGGCCATACTCCACGCCCTCGATCCCTAACGTGAAGCTGGCTTCTTTCCTCCCAGAGGTGGCTCACTCGAGCCAAGAGAAGGCGTCCTCGAAGCCTCGCCTGGCGTGTGTGTGTTTGGGGGAAGGGGGAAGGACAGCCGGGGAGCCGCGCCAGCGGTGTCGGGCTGTGCCTGGGAGCGCGCCCCCGCTGCGGAGTCTCAGCGCCCGCTCTCCGCCTCTCAGCTAGCCGCGCCGGGGGCGCGCACGGCGCGCTGCGGGGGGCGCGCACGCAGGAGGCTGGCCTGCCCGCAGCGCGGGGGAAAGTTGAGTTGGGAGAAGTTGGGAGCGGCGGGGGCGCGCCCCGGGGTGGGCACCGGGAAATCGTCGGGAGCGCGCGAGGGTTCCGGAGGATCAGGGGAGACCCGGAGACCCCCGGGACACGAAATCCAGAGCTAGCGGGTAAGCAGATAGGTGGCGGAGGGGGAGGGCCGCGGAGGAAGGGGGGGCACTGGAGACTCGGGCGCCGAGGGAGTGGAAGTGGAGGAAAGGGCGGGGACTGGGGCTCAGGGAGCGAGGTCTTAGGGAGAAGGATGGGGAGGCCAGTGGGAGTACGGGTCCGAAGCGAGATTCCGGGGTCCGCCTCTTAAGAGTTACCAGGTGCCGCGCCCCCTGCCACCAGGAGGGGGTAGTCTCAGAGAGCTGCTGCCTTCAGCTCGCGCTTCTACTCCCGGGCAGGTTCCAAACGACCCTCTGCTCCAGAAACTCTCCAGTTTGGGTATTCCCCGGGAGCGCATTCCCCCCGGATCTCGGCATTAGGAGGTGGAACCGTGAAAGGGGGTTGGCGGGTCAGGTCAGGACAAGAGGTCAGACAGAAGGGGGAGCATCTGTGTGAGAATGGGAAAGACCTAAAGTTTTGAGTCCTAGGGTCTGCCTTCTCTGTGTAGAGAACTCCTTGCTGGATGTGGAGGAAGCGCTGCCTCAAATCTGGGTCCACTTTATCAGATTCTCTCCGCCCCGACCTGCCCCACAGCCAAGAGCTGTGGAATGTACGAATTTACTTGGGGAATGGTTAATGCCCAAGTGGGGGTCCGGAGTGCTAATCCCTTGGGCTGGGGGAGAGATGCTAATCCTTCGGGCCCGTCGGGGCTGGTCCGGGGAATGTGCCCCCACTAGGATTATCGGCACCAACGCTGTGGACAGAAGCTGCTTTGTATTCTACGACAGCAGGGGAGAGGTGGGGGCGAATGGGTAGAGGGAGGAGGGCTTGGTGGAGGAGCACACTGAGGGCCAAGCCTGGAGGTGGGAGTGAGCACCTGCAGGTGGTCAGGACAGATTCCTATACCCCTTCTAGACCAGGTCCCCTCCCTGGCACCTCTCCCCCACACTGATGACGGGGCCCTGGCTGAAGGCCTGCTGAGGGGGGAGGTGGAAAGAGCAGTCAGCTGAGTTGGAGTTCTTGCCAGGAATGTGTGGCCCAGAATCCCCACCCTGGGCTGATCCCCCCCAGACCTCCATTATTTGAACCTACTCTAGCCCATCTCATTGCAAAGATAGCCAGAAGTCAGGCAACCCCACCTCCCAGCAGCACTTGAGCAGCTTAGTTGCCTTTAGAGCCTTGGGTGGTTCGTTCACTGTGAATGGGTATCCTGGTTTTGCATTGGTTTGGTTCCCTCCACCCCCATCACAGAACTCACAACCTACAGTCACCATCAGGAGGGCTGCCCTGCCACTCAGATTTTCCTGGCCCAGGGCTAGGGAGGGAAGGGAGAGAGACTGCCCCTCAGGGTTTCTGTGCCCACCCCCTTGACTATGTCACGTGCCCCTCCCCCATTATAAGCCTGCTGCCCAGCTCAGTCGTTCCTCCTCCTGAGTGAGTGGAGCTGGGTTCCTGTTCTGCACTGGGGAGCCTGCTTCTGACCTATGTCTAGGGGTGGTAGTACAGCTGGCCTGCCTGCCTTGTGGGGGCGTCCTGTCTATACTTGCAGGCCCCCTGCTTTTCCTTGGGTTCTCTCCAAAGTTCTTTCTGGTCCTCCTTTCTGTTTGGGAAGCCAGCCGCCCTGGCCTCCACACCCCTCTTACTCTGCGGGGTGTCTCACTCACCACCACACCCCTTTCTGGTCTCAGGCTACCTCCAGAGGCTCCTGGTTCCTGTTCCTGTCTGGCCCTTCACTCCGGATCCTTCTGTTCTTTATCATTCCCTCCCTCATCTCTTCTGCTTTCTTTCCAGGACTGGGCCTTGACTCCTTCCTGCCTTGCTTTTTTTGTTGCCTCTTCCCTTTCTGCCTCTGTTCTCAGCTGTCTTTGTGCCAGCCCCCTTGCTGCAGGCCAGCTCTTCAGTCTTCTCTTCCTATACATGCTCTCTTCTTTGTTCTTGCCACCTCTGAGGGCCACTATGAGGCCCTCCATAGTTTAGAGGGCTCTTGTACAGTTAGAGACACTGGAGTGGCAGACAACTGAGGCCCCTTTCTTTCCTTGATCTGGGCTGGGGCCTGGCCTACTCTTCACCGATGGTGACTGGCCCTTTTCCCCACTCAGGTTATGCCTCCACCTTGTTGCCCTGAAAGCCGAAGCGACAGCGAAAAGGGCTAAGATTTGGCCATGAGCAGCGCCCCCAGGCGCCCCGCCTCGGGCGGAGATTCTTTGCACACGGTAAGCATTGCCTGCAGGTGAGCTAGCCCAGAGATTGAGGTGCTCTGGCCTAGGCTCCAGTGGGGAGGGGGTGGGGTGCAGAAACTACAAAGAAGAGGCTGTGTTGGATCGAGAGGCACCACCATCAGCACCCAGACTTTGCCGAGTAGTGTGTGAGGATGCTGAAATGGGGAAGAGGAGGGACAGGTGACCTCCACTTATTTGAGGAGTTAAGGCCAGTTTAGCTGTAGTTGGACAGGAGTTTGAGAGCCCTGGGTCCTTAAATCCTGTTACCCTCTCTGATTGGGTCTTTACTGCATAGGCAAGAAGGTCTACACACCAAGGCTCTAGTTAGAGCTTGTCGGCAGTGACTGGCCCCGCCCCTAGCCCACGTGCCAGCCAGGCCCGCCCTCCCCTCTTCCCAATGTGGCCACTACCCCACATGGCCCTCTTCTGATTTTCCTAAGAAGTCTAATGATTAACTTTGGTGGCACAATCAGCCGCATTATATTGGTCACTGTGGCCCATCGGGGCACGTGACTGGGAAGGGACACTGGCCGGTGCCCTCCCCCTTCTTCGAGGTTCACCCCTGCCGCCATGGACTTCCTCCTGCGGCCTCAGGTTCGGGGAGATGACCCATTCCCCCTCCCCAGAAGCTCCTCAGGAGCCGATGCCTTGCTAACTCCCCAGCTGCTTCCTCACTGGAACCACACCAGCTTCCCCCGGCCCCTGCTTCTGGTGGAAATGGGACAAGTGCTTGGGATAGTCTGCTGGAGCTGCAGCTAGATGGGCTGGGCAGCCTCTCCCTTCTCTTGTCCCTTCCCTGCCTGCCCTAGATTTTTTTTTCTGTGTTCCCCACCTCTACCCTTGCATGTCTCCCCAAGATTGATCCTCCTCCCTGGCTTTTCCTTGCTGTAGCAGCTAGCACTGCCATGGAAGGGGTGGC